AGGAACCGCTCTAAGCTGGTTTAAGTCCTATTTATTAAATCGATTTCAGTTTGTACATGTTAACATGTTAACGATGAGTCCTCCATGCACACCAAAGTTAGTCATGGAGTTCCTCAAGGATCTGTCCTTGGACCAATCCTCTTCACTTTATATATGCTTCCCTTAGGCAATATTATCAGGAAATATTCCATAAACTTTCATTGTTATGCAGATGATACTCAGTTATATCTATCGATCAAGCCAGATGAAACTCATCAGTTAGCTAAACTTCAAATGTGCCTTCAGGATGTTAAAACCTGGATGACCTTTAATTTTCTAATGTTAAACTCAGATAAAACTGAAGTTATTGTTCTGGGGCCTAAGCATCTCCGTGACGCATTATCTAAAGATATAGTTTCCCTTGATGGCATTACCCTGGCCTCCAGCACCACTGTGAGGAATCTTGGAGTTATCTTTGATCAGGACATGTCGTTTAAGTATCACATTAAGCAAATTTCAAGGAACCGCCTTTTTTCACCTACGTAATATTGCGAAAATCAGGAATATCCTGTCTAAAAATGATGCAGAAAAACTAGTCCATGCATTTGTTACTTCTAGGCTGGATTACTGCAATTCCTTATTATCAGGCTGCACGAAAATATCTCTCAAGCTCGCAATAGAATTGGTTGCATAGGTTCAACATTTGTAAAGCGATGAACTCAGCAAACACCTGCAAACACATAAATGTATAAGTAGGTAAAGTACGACAGGAACACACCTGGACACTCATCTTAGAGACTCCTGGGCCCCCGTTAACATCTGTCTGTGTGTCCCAGGCTGAGTGAGAAGATGGTCCTGAGTGATCCCGGTCACCTCGAGGACCAGTTCACCACCAGCATCCTGAGACAGTGGGCGTCCAATCACAACACACTGGGAGAACACATAAAGGCCCAGCTGATCAAGAACAACCAGCCCCACAAGAGACGGAGGTGAGGACAGATTGATCTCTTCAGGAGGTATTGATAATTGATGGCTGATTGTGTCTGTCTCTACCAGGCTTCACTCAGACCCCGATCCTTCAGGCTCTGCAGCATGTTCAGGCCAGCTGTGACAAGGTCCACAAGATAAGGTACGCACATACACGCTGACAGGTGACATCACTGTGGCGGCTGATATCACTCCCAGACCAAGCCTCCCATAAGGCTCCGGGGACCTCGCCTCGCTCCAGGAAAGTAGTAGTCCCTCAACAATGAGGAGAGCGCCTCCAGCAGCGCCTCGGTACGTAGCCCCACCTACTGCTGTGTGAGGACAACCTGAATCTGCATCGTTCGTTCGTTGATTAGTCTGTTTCAAAACCACACGGAAATTTGATATTTGGTGTCTGATTTGTGAAACCAGGAAGCAGCTTTGTGTCTTCACCGAGAAGGAACCTCCAGGTTTGAAAAGTGATGCCTCAAACCTGCATTGTCTCTTACAGCCAGCACTAGGGCGACGCCACTGGATCGTGTATGGACTTAGTTGCTAGTTTCAAGTGTTCATCACAGCATGATTTAGTAAATTATGGTCCCACTTAGAGGAAAATGGAGTAGAAAGCAGGGGAGGCTTTAGGGCGGGGCAACCTTTTGATTGGCAAGTCTCTGTGTGACCCAAATATGGTACCCAATGGGTGTTCAGTCTGTGTTCAGGACGGAGCTGAAGACCTCCTTTTCTTTCAGCTGGACAGGTAGGCTGGAATAAAATACAGCTGCTCGTTCCTTCCTATAAATTGAACTAAAAGACGTTCTGTTAGCTTCCTGCTCAGCTTCCAGTCTGAAGGGGAGATGTTTGTTAACCTGCTTCACTTCTCCAGACGTTTGGGAACAGACTTTTGTTCGTCTGTAGAAGCTAAATCATTTATTACCTGACACACCGACACCGTACTTTTACTGCCAGAATATTTAACTCCTGAGATTCACCGTCACTTTCTGTCACTCAGACAATCAAACACTCTGAGACCTTGTTACGACCTCGCTCATGTGGGCAAGGAAGATAACATAAACCAGATTTGGTTAAATAGAGGTCTTAAATTTGACCAGGTGAAACCCTAATATTGTTCCATTACCTCGTCTACCTGACATAACAATTTGCATAGTGTGGGACTTCTTTTAAACAATCTTTATTTGCTTATGATTTCATTATCTACATTTAAAGCTCCCTTTTTATATTTATGTAAAAGTGTTAAAGCTGATGGAATAAAATTATGAAGTCGCTTTTTCCACAAAACACAGTAAAGTAGCTTTTAAAAACAGTATCACAAATGAGAGTGTCCTCCAGCCCACTTGATGTAATACCTACAAAATTTTTACTGAAAGTAATAGATTCTGTTGGGCCCCATTTGATCTCTGTTTTCAACAGATCCCTATCTACTGGTTGTGTCCCTGATTATTTTAAAACGGCTTGCTTGAACCCACTTTTAAAGAAACCTGGTTTAGATCCCTCCCTCCCACATAATTTTAGACCATTTTCAAAACTGCCTTTTATTGCAAAGATTCTAGAAAGAATTGTGTCCAAACAGCTGCTCACTGTACTGGAAAATAACAAAATATTTGAAAAGTTTCAGTCTGGTTTTAGGAAGTACCACAGCACTGAGACTAGGCTGCTTAAAGTCACCAATGACCTTTTAATGTCTGCTGATGAAGGCATGTGCTTGTACTCCTGGACCTTAGCGCTGCTTTTGACACCATTGATCACAACATCATGTTAGACAGACTGAGGCACTGGGTGGGGATCTCTGGTACTGCCCTAGAATGGTTTTCATCCTACCTGTCAAATAGGAAGTTTTGTGTGTCTGTAAACAACTATGTCTCTTTGTTCTGTCCAGTTAAATATGGTGTCCCTCAGGGGTCGGTCTAACAAAATAAGGATTATTATTATTATTATTATTATTATTATAAAGTAAGTAGTAAAAGGAAATTTTATTTAGCTCAAGAGATTAAGGTTATCACTTAACACCAAAAAATCTCTAAGAATCTGGAAATAGAGAATGTTCAACATCATTGAAAAAGAATGAAAACAAATTGCTTATCAAAATTGTTGCTGGTTAATTATCTGATCAAGCAGTCAATTACTTAGTCTATCAGCTTTATGCAAGCTCTGCCTTATTTTGTGTCAAATGTAGAAATGACGGAAGATGTTGTGAGAAGATGATACTAATAAAGAGAACTTTAATTATGATAATGGAGAATTTTCAGGACTATCTGAAAATGGGCATTTTGTAAATTTTATTAGCAGTAATTTTGTTGAGTGAGTTTAGTATTTGAGTTTAGCAAAATACGTTTTTTTTTTTTTAGTAGATTTCCCTCAGCGTGTAAGTTCTGTACAATAAATTAAATGTTTTTAAAAAATGTATTTATGTATATTTATATTTAAGTTACGGTTTACTCAAATATTATTACCACTACTTAAAAAGTTTGAGGTAATCAGTTTCCACAAATATTTTGAGTATTCTGAACTTATTTGGGTTTACAGTGTAGCATTTATTACAAAAATGATTTTACTATAATCTATTTTTGATAGCTGTATATGTATGTTTGATATGAAAAGGTTTATTCTTTGCACCTGTTGTCAAAAAAACACGGACATATACACTCACCAGCCTTGCTTGTACTGCGTTGGACCCCCTTTTACCTTCAGAACTTCCTTAACACTTCGTGGCATACTTTCAACAAGGTGTTCATATTGACATGATAGCATCACGCAGTTGCTGCCGATTTGTCAGCTGCACATCCATAATGCAAATCTCCCGTTCCGTCACATCCCAGAGGTGCTCTATTGGCTTGAGATCTGGTGACTGTAGAGGCCGTTGGAGTACAGTGAACTCACTGTAATGTTCAAGAAACCAGTTTGAGATGATTTGAGCTTTGTGACATGGTGCATTATCCTGCTGGAAGTGGCCATCAGAAGATGGTTACACTGTGGTCATAAAAGGATGGAGAAGGTCAGCAACAATACTCAGGTAGGCTGTCGCGTTTAAACGATGCTCAGTTGATACTAAGAGGCCCAAAGTGTGTCAAGAAAATATCCCCACATCATTACACCACCTAGTGATGGTTGTGGGTGAAAATCCCAGTAGATCAGCTGTTTCTGAAATACTCAGACCAGCCCATCTGGCACCAACAACCATGCCACGTTCAAAGTCACTTCATTCCCCTTTCTTCCTCATTCTGATGCTCTTTTTAAACTTCAGCAAGTTGTCTTGACTACGTCTACATGCCTTAATTCACTGAGCTGCTGCCATGTGATTGGCAGATTATCTATTTGTGCTAACAAGCAACTGAACAGGTGTACCTAATAAAGTGGCCTGTGAGTGTACTTACAATGTTGTGAACTTAAAAACATACAATTTGTAAAAGTATTTAGACTAAGTATTAGGCAAAATGAGTCTTAAAACACTCGTGAAGAACAAGGTTTCTAACAGATTTTACTAATTTGTGCAAATGTAAATTTCAAAATAGTGTTCTGTGATACTGCTCATTCCTCTTCTGGCATCTCTCTGAAATAAATTCTGTTTTGCCCACATGAATAACTAGGCTACATTTTCAATAAAGATTATTTTGACTTAACGGCTCTTGGACCTTTCTACATGCAACATAGCCCAGAATATAAACCTGCTTTTTGTTAATAAGTAATGTTAAAGTGATAATGAAAGTGCCACAACATCTTATATGTATAGTATCTATCTTGGAAACTAGGAATTTACATCTGTACAACAGGGGGAGTTCAATTATTTACTAAGCGGTTAAGAGGTATGTATCAGTACTAAAGACAATTAACTATTTATGCATTAAAATTATGGAGCCGTAGAGTTCAACTGAGTGATCTTGTTAACAGACACTGTATATTTGTCTACATAAATTATCTAAATCTAACTGTAAAATGTTTCCTGTGATTCTGTTGACAAGGAGCATCAAAGTGAAAATGAGTAAGAGGCTGCAACATTGTCAGTGTTGTGATAAGAAACGAGGAAATTACAGAAGGCTAAGTCAGTAGTAGAAGGTTTATTAACTGAACATGGACACAGCTGAAGTTTGCTTCCTTCAAAAAGACCATAAAAATGAATCATCATTTATAAATCACAACTTGCTGGTGACACTAACATAACTAGATTTTAAAATGTCCAAATGTTTGAATGTAAAATATATTAATACTGGTTTACATAACTGTAATTTACACATAATTCAGGTTCAACGATTCACATGGGTTTGACTTGTACTTGGGAATTTCTCTTTTTGTACTCAAAACATTGTAACACAAAACACAGATTGGTTTTACTGTGTAGATTTGCAAGTAAGGTCATATATGGTGAGTCCTTGTATTGAAACTTTGTATGTTGAAAGCAAAAATAGACAATGAATTTCAATTAAGTTGAATGGCATCATGCACTTACATAAAAAAGCTGTTTATAGTACTGGACACATTCTGATATAATTATATTCAGACAACTTATGGTAAAACTTGATATCTTTTCAAAATGAAGTTAATTATCTCTCTCAATTCATATCGATCACTATGACACATTATTTTCATCCTTACACACTGAACTCTGAGCATTTCCATGACCTCAGATACTCCTGGCATAAGCAATAACAGGCTGAGTCATGAGGTCAGCAGACTGACACATTTTATGACCCATTTATGTGCTGAAGTTTTATCTCATTGGCCTTCCTTTAGCCCTAAAACACAAGGGGACATTTATGTCATGAGTGAGATCTCCACATTTTATAACATCTATGTTTATGAATTCAATACTTCAGCTAGTCTATATGAAGTATAGCAAGGCTTGTTTTTTATAAGATAAGCACATTCCACACATTACTCATGAGGACAAGATCACAACATTAAAAACATTCCCCAACTGATGATGACAACTGGTATGTCTGGCACAAGGTGATACATACAGTAATTATAGGCAAGTGGATCTTTAGCAAATATTTGCAGTTTCACCTTGTTGACAGGCTTAACTCTCATAAGATGTTATATGACCTAACAATTAAACTTCCTTGGAAAATGAACAACCCATTTTATGGTATGTAATATGTTAATAACACTATCCAGTTTGTTTAGTCTAACTGTTAGGTTGTACTGGTATCATATGTACAAAACTGTGAATCACATGCAAGCAAAGTACCAGAACAGGCCTATTTTTCCAGACACCCAAATATCCCAGCAATGACAGCTGCAGCGAAGGACATGTTTCCAATGACGAGGATTACTGAGACAGCGGTGACAATCACATTGGCTGCACTGAGCGTCTTCTGAAATTCAGAGGTTCAGCGGAAAACGTGAAAAACATTTTTACTGTGATGTCGCACATGACAAAACAAGATGTTAGCAGAACATGTCACAATGTGGACAGGCTCACCTTTCTTCTTTGTTGCCTCCATCCCTCACCTGTTTTTAAACTCCCTGTAACAGAAAATACTGACTGATATCATTTTGTTCTTCATAAGAATCCATAGCCTACTGTATTTTGTGCATAGTAACAGTAGTACAAGCTATTCACCTATTTTGCTTCCCCCAGTATTGTTTTTCCGTGAGCAGTGAATACGAAAACCCAAATTACAAACAGGAAAATCCACGCTGTGTAAGCGACCATCACTTTCAGAAGCCAAGACTCTGTCCTGTTCTTACTGCAACTGTCAGTCTTGATAACACCAGTAAAGATCACAGCAACTGTGTGTAGAACAAGTTTGGAAATGAAAACCAGAGCAATAAACAGGCAATGGCAACAATCTGACAGGACGCTAGCTGTGACATTTGTTAGCTCTATTGTTTTAAAGCAGTAGTTCAACATTGTGGGAAATCTGCTTATTTGCATCCCTGCCAAGAGTAAGATGAGAAGATTTATACCATTCTTATATCTGTCTGGTAAATATGTGGCTACAGCCAGTAGCTGGTTAGCTTAGCATTGATGTGAAGACCGAACATAGCGAATCACTTAGCCTGGGTCTGTCCGAAGGTGTATAGCACTGCTACAGCTCACTAACAAACACTTTGTTTAATCTGTACAAACTGTGTGAAATGTCATGTTGTACTTGCAGTTACTGCTTCAGGGCAAAATATTTCAGGACAAAAACAGAAAATGGTGTTCAACCACTTAATGAAAATGGGACTAAGGATGGTGAATATGGTACAAGCATACAGTGCACAAAACAGTCCTTTTTTTGCTTTTTTAGCACATGTGCAGCCTGTGCCATAGTAGTAGTACAGTCCATGTGGTTTTACAGACTTTGGCAAATAACATAAATAGCCTTAATGCTCAGAAAAAATGCACATAAGCGTATTTCCCTGAATGCTGAAACAACTGCTTTAAAAAGTTTCAGACAGAGCAAAATAAATACCAGAAAGTTTACAAGTATCAGGTATAACACACTTTGACAGCAAGGTCACAGATCTCCTTTCTTGAATAGAACAAAAGAGAAACAAAAACCACTGTGCACAGTGTTGACATAAGGGTCAAGTCAAAAATTCAGGCAGAAGAAGAGGAGCTGAACTTACAGCTCATGACTGGGTCCAATTGGAAGACTTACAATTACCAGCTCTATCAAATCAATCAATATCATCACACACACAAGAGCAACAAGAGTGACCTGAACATACACAGACACACACAGAGTAGGAGACACACATACAGACATATACACAAACATTAAAAATAACCTTAGAACAATTCAGAAATTTGGAAATCCATAGAGAGAAGTGTTCTCTGAAAGTGTGAAAAGTGAAGTCACTACTTATTATTACTCACTTCAGAGGAATCACACACACAATACAAGATTGCTGCCGATATTTCAACTGCGGTGCAAAGCAAACAACAGGATATCTGTGTCCCCTACAAAAGAAATAAAATGCAATTTCAATTATGCTGCTGAATAATTAGTATTCATTTAGTGTTTGTTTTTCAAGGCACAGATACAGAAACACGGGACTGGGCCTGCAAATGCCATTTAGCATTTATAGCCTATGCTGATTTGCAGTGCTTGTAAAATCACATTTAAAACAATCTGAAAAAAAAATACACTAATACAAAACACACATAACACATAAACAGATGTAAATGACTACCACTTGCTAGATAAAATCTACCATTACAGTTTATAAAAACAAGCCCCTTTTTTAATGCTATTGAGCGTAGGTATTTATTTCTCCAAAAGTCATTTAGTGTAGTATTTAAAATCTGTAATTACCTCTGTACATACAGTAGTTTTTGGCAGGGTCTGCCATTTCAGGAAACAGGATGAGTAGATCTAGAAGTTACTGTTACTGTGACAGCACAAGCCCTCCAACTCATGCGTTACCTTAATTAGACAATGAAGGTAGGGGCTGCTGGTGAGGGTGGTTGCGATTATGTTAGGTAGTTCCTGAAGAGAGATAACAGATAAATTCATATTCTTGTATAATTCTTTGTGATAATTAGTGTCTCGCCAGCTTTTGTAGGAATATTACCATTTACTGTCATTTACTGGGTGACATGAGTTTATAAATACCATACAAGTAGGGTGGGAAAGGTTACTTTAAAAATGTAATCGATACAATTACTAATTTGTTTAAAAATATAATCAGTAACGTAATCCGAGTACCACAAAATAAAAGTAATATAATCTGATTACTTTTAATTACTTTTGGATTACTTCAATGCCAAATAGGCAAATAGAGACAAGAGAAGTATCTATGATGTATTTTCTCAGTGTATTTTTAGAGAAACAAACAAAATCTCCTATTACCAAAATCATGTTTAAATTTTTTTATATGATATGCTTTGCACTATGTCACCACTATGGCAGTATCTGGCCCATCAATGACAAAAAAATGTGTTTTGTAGGTATTATTGATGATATTAAGAGTTTGACATCTGAAAAAAAACATTTTAAGATGTTGATGACTCATACTGCACTTGTATTGATTTAGCGTCCAATGAAAAGATTTCTCAATATGACTGTGCTGAAGCACAGTGTTTCTGGGACCGGGCCCCACTGATTACTGAACAAAGACAACTTTTTTCACTGATTTTGGTGAAACTGGATCACATTTGATGGAGAAATAGAAATATGGAATAAATATTTTTCTAGTTTTCTCTCTGATGTCCCCTGGCTGCTCTGCCTTCACTCTGAATAACAGAGTTTCCTGATGGACAGATAGCTTTACTTGTGGCTTCAGTTAGTTAACAGCTAACTAGCTGCCATTATTAGCTCAGTTTGCTGTTCAACCACTGGTCAAATTAGGTGTTGGCACCTTTACTCAAGCACTGGAGGTCTTCAGGACAGGGGCAGGGGCAGGGGGACCCAGGAGGGAGTGATGGCAGGGTGCATTACTCGGGTGCAGCGCCTGATTTGGAACCGTAGCAGGGCGAGCGGGCAACAAAACCTCGCTCAGCAGCTTTGCAGTGAACACGGCATCAACAGGACCGAACACAGCCTCAAAGACCAAAAGGGAAGGAATCCAGTATTAAGATGATTTACACAGCACTTCTTTTTGCTAAACCGCTAACTGTAGTCTATCTCCCTATCTGTATGGAGGGACTGTTGGGTCAGATTTAAATCTAAAAATCTAAAATTGGTTTTAGGTTTGGTGTTTAGGATTGGGCAAACTTTCTGCTTAAAGTAATCCCCATGAGTAATCCCCAGTTTTTCAAAATGTACCTGTACTCTGATTATGTCTTTATTTTTTGTACTGTAACTGAATACAGTTACTTTTTCGATTACGTAATGCCGTTACATGTAATCCGTTATTCCCCAACCCTGCATACCAGTTTCAGTCCCTCAAAAAAAGCATCAAAGGTCATCAGCCCAGTAGCTTCTCGCTGGAGACAAATCAAGAGAAACGACAATGAGCTGTGTAAATCAAACTGTTGAAGTTTATATATTCATGCATAGATTTCTGCACAATGTCAAAAAAAGTCAATCAAATCTACCTTTCTTTTGCAACTAGTGCTTGTCTTTGTGGTACCTATTGTAGTACTTGTCGTATTACTTGCAGTAGTACTTGGTGGTTATGGTGGCGGTGAAGTGACATTCACATCCACTCGTTCCCAGAATATATTAAAAGACTCAACAAATGTGGCTCTGAAATATATCAGACACTGATGTTAAAGTAAATCTGCTTGCACATCATTGGAATATTTAATAAAACTGTAAAAGTTCAGTTTTATTCTTGACTTTTAGAGGTCATCAAAGTGTACAAATACCTGAAAGTGATGTCTAGCTCTTCTGCCGGAGCTGTCCAGTTAACTCGAATTAAAGTCTTTCTTTGATTGTTTTTTGACTCACAGCTGAGCCCTGAGGAGAGTGATAAAAGACTTTGATCTTGAATTTCCACTCAAGTTCATTTAAATGTGTTAATTAAATTGGATGTGGAAAATATGAATATTCAATTTAACATTTCAATGCATTTACTAACTCTAATAATGATGACATGGGTTGGTTACTTACTACTATCACCACATGTCACGAGTTGAGAATTACCAGAGTCAAGCAAGATAAATTTTCCAACAGGCCGGCCATCGTCCACCATGCTTTTGTTTCGAGCCTCCAACATAAATCCCCTGAACTGTGTGGATGACTTGCTCTTGAGAAAAACTGGAAAATGGTTCGGAGATTTATCAGGACGCAGGTGGAGGGACAGAAAATGGAGACAGTGTTAATCTTGCGCTTAGTGAATGACCACTGCAACAAAGATTCATAGTGACAAATAAGCCTTCATCCAAAAGTCTCTGTACCTGTAATAGGGTCTCCCTTTTTACCATGTTCGTAACGGACCTCAAAGGGCGGTTGAGTGTTCTGAGGAGCGAGAACTTCCCCTCTATTTTTATGCCTAGGTGACATTGTATGACATACTTTCGGGAAGTAACCGCTTGCATAACCGCACACTTTTGTGATGATGCTTAGGCCAACCAACGTCCACAGCCACATCTGTAAAACAAGTGTGCAAAGCCATCTGTAAATGCGATAAACCCGATATGAACACGTCTTTTTTTCAGCCTTCTTCCTAAACATGTGTGGCAGGTTGAGGGTTTTTCTCCCTCCCGCCACTATATTGCGCTGCACTGGTGCCATGACAACCGGATGCCGCTGCCGTGGCCTATAAGTACAGGTGATGATGCAGCTGTGTCGGCCTCTCTCACCTGGGTTGGGCGTCTCGACTGTTGGCGACGGTGGTCGGCGTTGTGGTGTGCTGATGCGAGTGCTGTTATGGCCTGTAGCGCAACAGTTTAGCTGTTAGCGGCCCTAAACCTGTGGAGTCGCCTGGTCGGCGTTCTGTATATGCACGCGACGTTGCTCCCGGTCCGTGTGGTAAGTGTGTTGTCTGCTTGCATGCCAATGTAACCGTCTGCTGTGTGCGCTTAGTGCATCGCGGCTAAACACAATACTCCCTTAATTGTTTTAGAGCGAATTGTTTGCTGTGCGGGCTGTCTCGCTCTTGCCTGTGGGCTGATTATGTGTGAGCGCTGTGGAACCGTGGGGGTATGTATGCATATTTCTCATAGTATGCCATTTAACTGAATATATAGCCTACCATGCGAAATATTAGGGGTGCTAAATCTTCCCCTGAAGAGACTGGGCAATACAGCTCCAGCAGATGGCAATCACTTTTCGGCACAACACCTGTCACCTTTTTATTAGCATTTTTTTGTTATTATAGTATATTTAGTTTATACAGTTGGCATCTTGTTTTGTGATTTTCAATTTTCTGTTTTCATCTTGGTTGGTTTGAATTAATTGACTTGCATGTTTTGCTTTGTGTGGTGTTTTGATTTATTCTCTTTGCCATTGTATTTTAAATAGTAAGCCTATATTGTATTTTAAATTATTTGGCCCATATTTCTATTATTCAATGGCATGCCTTAAGTGGTAGCGTATACGTAGTTGGTGTTCTGTTAAATTACTTTGGTTGTCTTTAATTAGTACTTAGTTTAATAAATTTAAATGTAAAACACTCTCTGCCCTGGCCTTATTTCAGGTGACCTATCTTAATAATTTCCTGTGGTGAAATTCCCCAGGTGTTTAAATACAGAATCTCACCCTCATCTTACCACACTGGAAAACTTTCACATTGATAGTAAGCTGATGAATTGATACATACAGTATGAAACTAAACATACTTATGTATTCAGAAACATTTAATGGTTACGGCTCTCGTTGCACCAGTACCTTGGCTTTAAATGACATGGCGATTAAGTTGAAAGTTTAATGGCTTTAAAGGTGTAACACTTTCAACTTAATCCTCACCCCTAAAGGTGTTGCCATCAGTATACATGGTGCCCAATTTTCAAACAATGTGGTAAGACAACAGGGCTACAATCCCCTTAACTGTTTACACAATAAGGATGTGAATACTCATAGATCCTTAGATAAGCTCTTTAAACTTATAGACATTGTTTAATTACAGATGCAGTTTGCTGGAATACGGAGAAATACAAAAATTCCCACACTCAGAATCACTTGAAATATGAAATGTATTTAGGAAAATAGGACAAATTTAAAGAGAATTTGGCCTAAAAGTAAATGGCAAGCATTCTCTCTCACTCAGACCTCTCTGTTCCATTTTAAACTTGGATTCATAGCATTTTAAGACACCAGTGGAAAATAATTAAATATATAACGGTAACTCTTCCTCTTTTAAAATAGTGTTTCTATAAACTCCATGAAACCATAAGACGAGATGTAAACCTGCAACATTGGACTCTCACTGAAATTAAGGAAAAATTGCATCTCTTTAAGAAAAATATAAAGTCTTAAGTGTCTTCACAAAGGGATTTTCCTTTCAGGAGCATAAGGCATGCAGTGCGTGCCAGAGAGCAGTGCAACAACTCAGCAGACCAAATGAGGAAGTTATAGGGCAATCACAGGTCACTGCTGAACCTGCCCACAGACAGCTAAAATCTACGAAATAGTTTCCCCTTTACCTCTGATTAGATTTGTATCTGAATATTCTCACAGTTGGTTGGTTTCTCAACAGCATGCAGATTGCTTGACTTACAAGAAAATATACTAGACGATGTTGATCAGCAATAGAAAACAGATGTTGGCTGAGAACAGGCACAGATGTAAACAATTCCAGGAAATCATCACATTGACCAATATGAACTAAGCTTGAATAGGATAGGGAGCACATTTCCTGCTTGCAAATCTCTCAAAGATTTCAGTCTAATCACTTAGTTTCAGGTTCACCTATAAAAGTGTAGAATAGGAACTATTAGCATAACCTTAAGGGGTGCCGATGAGATATGACCATGCCTTTGGTGGGAGTCCCAGGTTCAATCCTCTATTGTGTCCCTGAGCAAGACACTTACTTAACCCTTAGTTGATCCAAAGGCGTGTGACCTGACTTTGGATAAAAGCATCAGCTAAATAAATGTGAATGTAAAGGACTAGTACACTGCTCAAAAAAATAAAGGGAACACTAAAATAACACATCCTAGATCTGAATGAATGAAATCTCATTAAACACGCCTTTCTTTACATAGTTGAATGTGCTGACAACAAAATCACACTATCAATGGAAATCAAATGAATCAACCCATGGAGGTCTGGATTTGGAGTCACTCAAAATCAAAGTGGAAAACCACACTACAGGCCGATCCAACTTTGATGTAATGTCCTTAAAACAAGTCAAAATGAGGCTCAGTAGTGTGTGTGGCCTCCACGTGCCTGTATCCCCTCCCTACAACGCCTGGGCATGCTCCTGATGAGGTGGCGGATGGTCTCCTGAGGGATCTCCTCCCAGACCTGGCATCAATGCCTTCCTCTTGCAGGAACTGCTGACACACTCCAGCCACATGAGGTCTAGCATTGTCTTGCATTAGGAGGAACCCAGGGCCAACCACACCAGCATATGGTCTCACAAGGGGTCTGAGGATCTCATCTCGGTACCTAATGGCAGTCTGGCTGTGCGGCCCACCAAAGGAACGCCACCCCACACATACTGACCCACCGCCAAACCGGTCATGCTGGAGGATGTTGCAGGCAGCAGAACGTTCTCCACGGCGTCTCAGACTCTGTCATGTGTCACGTGTGCTCAGTGTGAACCTGCTTTCACAGGGTGCCAGTGGCGAATTTGCCAATCTTGGTGTTCTCTGGCAAATGCCAAACATCCTGCACGGTGTTGGGCTGTAAGCACAACCCCCACCTGTGGACATCGGGCCCTCATACCACCCTCATGGAGTCTGTTTCTGACCGTTTGAGCAGACACATGCACATTTGTGGCCTGCTGGAGGTCATTTTGCATGGCTCTGGCAGTGCTCCTCCTTGCACAAAGGCGGAGGTAGTGGTCCTGCTGCTGGGTTGTTGCCCTACTACGGCCTTTGCATCTAATACTTAATTTGATCTTATTTCCACCTTCAATATTTCTAAGAATTGTCAGTTAACAATCACTCTCTGATATTCCTTTTAAATATCAGCAGCATCTCAGAGGTAATGTCTTACTTCTGAAATTTTCTTTATGATTCAGATAATTCCAGCATTTGTCATCTTTTTTCCTTATATGTATTCTGTTTTATTACATTTATTGGACTATATATTCACTATGTATTAAACATAATTGCAAAAATCAGTGATCCTAATGGTGATCCTTGACTCTTAACATTGTGTAATGGAAAACCATCCTCAGCTACCACAAATTCCAATTTATAATTGACAGTATTGTATCAGCATGATCCTTTTCCTTCTGAAATGTTTCTTACTTTCTAACATGACTGTCTAAAACAGCTGTAGCGTCACACAGATGAGTAGGTCTGACTTAGTTCTACAAAACCCTCACTACATATTAAATTACTTCGTCATGTTTTTTTTTTTTTTTTACATTTCATTTTGTATATTGATATGTTTTAGCAAGCAGGCTTCAGGCTGGTTACATGGTTGCTATGCTAAGAAAATCAAACCATTCCCCACCCAGAAAGCCTGGATAAATGAGGTGAGGGCTCTATCCAAAGCCAAAAGTCCTGAGAGTGAAATACAGTGGGGAGAATGAGTTAAAAAAACGAGCAATTATTAAAAAAATCATACAATGTGGTTTTCTGGATTTTTGTATTGAATTCCGTCTCAGTTGAAGTGTAACTATGATAAAAATGACAGACCTCTACATGCTTTATAAGTAGGAAAACCTGCAAAATCAGCATTGTATCAAATACTTGTTCTCCCCACTGTATGTATAAATCTGCTGGGTCTGATAACATCCCTTGTGGTGTACTAAACACTGTGCCAATCAGCTAGTTGATATGACATTTTCAAAAAGGTTTCCCACCTGCTTCAAGACGGCCACCATCGTACCTGTCGAGTCTGAACGACTACCGCCTTGTAACACTCACCCCCACTCTGATGAAATGCTTTGAGAAACTGGTTCTTCAGCAATAAGGGTCCCAGCCAGCCTGTTTGCCCAGTTTGCTTTCAGAATGAACAGGTCCAGAGAGGATACCATCTCCACTGCCCTCACACACCTTAAGGAAAGCAGCACCTACATCAGAATGCTGTTCAACACAATCTCCCCCATGAAACTGATTGGCAAACTATATTTATTGATATTGGACTTTCTCACTAACAGACCCCAGTCAGTTCGGATTGGTGGTCACACCTCCTCCACTTTAGTGCTCAACACCGGAGCCCCCCAGGAATGTGTGCTCAGCCCCCTCCTGTTCACTCTGTACACCCACGACTGCATCCCTCGACATGGAGAGAGCTCTGTTGTGAAGCTGGTGTATGGGGTTCTTCAGCCATGCTAGACAAAGACGTGAGTAACATTGCTCCAGCAGTCGAATCTGATATAACTCTTCTGAAAGAAAGCCAACAATTAATGTACTTTTCATACACCCATTTGTCGTTGTTACATCTAATACCATGGTGAATTACAATCACAGAAATCCAGAGCCATTAAGCCAAACACGGAGCAAACTTTTTATTCCTCCAAAACAAATGCTGGACCCCACCATATGTAAAGCTTTGTTGGAAATCTTACTCTTCCTTTTCTTACACGAGGATTACACCTTCCTAAACAAAGACATCACCCCTGAGGAGCTAAAAGAAACTATTTTGAAAGGATTCAAAACCCCAGGCCCTGAAGGTTCGCTGACGCACTCACACCTTCTATGCTTAATCTCTTATCTCAAATAAGGTGAGGCAGAAATAACACTTATTCTGAAAAGGGGCAAGGATCTGGAGGAGGCTCCTTAATGTGGACCAGATACCTGGTCACACTGGTTCAGAACAGATTTATCCCTGGTAGAAACTCCTTCTCTAACCTCGGAAATGTTTTTTATATATACCAATTTTAACTCCAGCCTATGTGATCTTGTGGTCACCTCTCACAGCACCAAGAAGGGGTTTGACCAGGCAGAATGGTGCCATTTATTTGCTGTGCTGAACAATTTTAGTTTGAGATAAATCGCCTGGATTAAACTTTTGTACAAATATTAACCAATGGGATGTTATCCTCCCACTTAGCCTGGAGCAGTGGTAATATTGCCTACAGATTTTAGGTGCAGTGATCATGTCTCCAATTGCTTTAGATAAATCTGTTTATGGTGGAAACATAATACATAGTTGTAAAGGGGTAATCTGGAAGCAAATTAAAGCTACAAGGCTATGTTTGAGAACTAGCAAGACACCTTTGAAAGTATCCACCTGGAAGAAAAAAAAAAAACCCACATCCTACCTTCAGGCTGGATAAGAATTGAACAGAGCTGCTTGCTGTTCTCACTTGTTATTTTTCAAATCCCTGTCCGGAGAAACGGTGATTATTTCAGAGATATATATATATAAAAATTATACAGAGTTTACTAAGTGGCTCTAAAGTCAGTTCAAGGGGCAAAAAAACCCTTCATGTACTTGGATAGCCATTGTACTCTACAGGTTCTTAGTCCTATCCAGAAAGTGAACAACAGACCATGTGTGTTTTCATTCAGTCTCAATTCATAAGAATTTCTTTCTAAACACAAAATGTGTCGTTTCAAAACTGATTCCTATTGAGTCTGTTCAAAAGGACAAAAGTTATGCAAGATTTATTAAATAAATATTGTTACATCCCCAGTCTAGAGGAAATAGGAAATGAGGTGTCTCACCACAACGCAAGGAAATTACAAAGTAGCAGTCTTCAGAGATGAGCTGTGCCCAAATTAACAAGATCCGCAAACAACCTTAAACAGACAAGACTTCTACAAACATTTAAAATCACTGTGCTGAAGTTTCTCTGCTTGCAAAGGTTCTCATTCAACAACTAGCACATAGTTGCAAGTAGCAGAGTGAAGCAAAGATTGCTGTCAGCTGGGGGCTTAAAAAGCCTGCTGTCATTCAATGTACCAATCACAAGGCAGCAATCAACTTCTGATTGTCCAATCCAGGGTGGCCAACTGTTTTCCATTACATGCATGAAGGAAGCACACATGCACACACTGAGGGAGAACAGAATTATCATTACATGGTTGGATGGTGCAATATTATATTGCATACAAGCTAAATTTTTCCTCAATAAGTAACCACATCAATATTTATTAAGGTTATTATTTAAGCCTAATTCAATGAATATTATTTCTTAACCTAATAAAGGTAGGTTGAGAATTAGTTTCTTTCTTGCAATTAGGGTTTCCCCAATGAAACTGATAAAGTTGAAGTAAAATGGAAGCTTTATAGGGTGTTCTGTCATCTTCAGACGGTCGAATTTGCTTTTTCAATAGGGTGTTTCATGTCATCTTAGAATGACCATTACTTGCTCCCAGGAGAAAAAAAATAAATCTAATCAGCCAGAAAACTGTAGTGATTTTAATTAAATTCAAAGGTGTAGAATAGGGACAGCAGCCCTACCAATATCCAACGACTACTGAATTGTCCCTAGCAATAATTTTGTTCAAAACAATTCAATATAACTAACACAACAAAACACTGTTCTCCATCAGCATCTAGTCTTCTACTTGGTACACAAACAGTTAAAAGCTCATGTTAAATGCATTTAAGTTTTGGAAGACTATGTCCTCCACTCTCATGCCTCACAGTAGTTTTATCCACCCTTGGGCAAACTTATGTGATTACAATCTGTCAATTTCCTTTTACTACTTACTTTACTGTGTTGTGGAAAACGTGACTATGCATAATTTTATTCCATCAGCACTTTTATTTAAATATAAGAGCGCTTTAAATGTGGGGTTTTATGGAATCATAAGCAAATAAAGATAGCTAATATAGACTGTTTAAAATAAGTCCCACACTATGCAAATTGTTAAGTCAGGTAGATGAAATAAGGGGAAAATATCAGGGTTTATCCAGGTTTCACCTGGTCTTATTTAATAATAATTTTTATTTGTAGAGCACTTTTCAAAAACAAGTTAAAGTGCTCAAAGAAAACATTGAAAAAACTAAAATACACGTTTAAGATAAATATAAAACTAGTAAAATAGAATAAAATAAAAGGGATAAAATAAAGTCAAATAAGATCAGGAAAGGCTCTCCTATAAAAGTTTGTTTTTAAAAGTAGTTTTCAGTCGAGACTCTGGAACAGACAACAGACCTCTGCCCGAGGATCTCAAGGTACGTGCTGGTGTGTATGGGACTAAAAGTCCAGAAATATAACAAGGCGAGAGGCCATGAAGAGCTTTAAAAGTGAACAATAAAATTTTAAAGTCAATTCTAAAACATACTGGGAGCCAGTGTAATGAAGCTAAAATAGGGGTGATGTGGTCATATTTCTTTGTTCTGGTTAAAAGCCTGGCAGCTGAGTTCTGGACAGTCTGGAGTCGATCAATAGATTTTTGGGTTAAACAGGTGAAAAGGCTGTTGCAATAATCCATGATGAGATGAAGGCGTGTAAAATCGGTGTCCTTAAAAGTTAACATAGATTGAATTTTTGCTATATTTCTAAGTTGATAAAAACATGATTGAACAAGCTTTGTGGTGTGCTGCTCGAAATTTAAATTACTATCAAACCAAACACCAAGGTTCTTTGCCACAGGCTTAATGTGATTTACTAGGGAACCAGCAGATGGCAGTATTTGATTTGCCATCTGCTGAGACCCGATGACCAGGATTTCTGTTTTGTTTTATTTACTTCACAAAGGCAGTTGTTAAGTGAACTCAGCATTCCAGGGTCTGTGGATCTGACGGGCAAGTATATTTGTGTGTCATCAGCATAAATATGAAAAGAAATGCCATGTTTATGGATAATATGTCCAAGGGGAAGCAGATACAAGGAAAACAAAATGGGTCGTAAGACCGACCCCTGAGGCACACCATATTTAACTGGACAGAACGAAAAGACATAGTTGTTTACAGACACGCAAAACTTCCTATTTGACAGGTAGGATGAAAACCATTCTAGGGCAGTACCAGAGATCCCCACCCAGTGCCTCAGTCTGTCTAACATGATGTTGTGATCAATGGTGTCAAAAGCAGCGCTAAGGTCTAAGACCATTTATGAATGAAATTTAAAACCTATCACGACTTAGAAGAAACGCACAAAAGGAAATACAGTCACAAAATTACTTGCAGAGTAAATCAATGTATTCAAATCAGCATTGAGTGATGTCTACAAAATTGGCATCGGACGATGTCAACAACGAAACACCGGGATGAACGATGACCTTGACAAGCTCCGTAATTAACAAGCTGGCATGCGGTGGACCTGCTGACGTGAAAAATGGGTCACTGGTAGGTAACACAACCTACTGCTGATGGATAAACTCAGGGGAGCAAAACATGCTAAATAAGTCTACTGGGGTTGAATTCTAACCATTTGATCTGGGAAAATTCATTTGGTTAGTTTTGATGCTCTCCACAATGATTTTATATTCATTGCGCAGCACCAAGCAGTTTTGAGCCTCACCACCTTATAATGGCAGGAAAACACATGACCTCACAATCATTACAGATAGGATTTTCATGTTGCCTTTTGTGTCTTAATTTACTGCTTTATACATTTGTAGAAATTAGCATAAATAGGCAACATGCCTTCCCTTCTGCATTACTACAAGCATTTCATTTGTACATCAAAATCCAAAAGAATAATGTCCTCATTAGCTTAAAAGGACTAATGGTAGTTTGCATCCGTAATTCGCTTTAACATTACTAACCTCAGCTCCCCAGTGGTCAACACCGTACTTTTAATTTAACTATCAAGGTGTACATTAGACAGAGCTGTAAGCTGACAACTTAATGCTGATCTTATCCTCCGTTAACTTTCACTGTCACTTTCAGCCACTCGCATTCGCTTGTCATTTGAACGAGGAGGAGGCAGCCATGCTTTGAGTGTTACTGTAGTTTACTGAAAATCATTAAAGATTGTGTGAAACAGTAGGCTTCAAATACTGACTGTTTAAGCCCTGATTGGACACCAAGTGTCTCAGGATGCTGGTGGTGAACTGGTCCTTGAGGTGACCGGGACGACTCAGGACCATCTTCTCACTCGGCCTGGGACACAGATGTTAACGGGGGCCCAGGAGTCTCTAAGACGAGTGTCCAGGTGTGTTACTGTCGTACTTCTCTCTGTGGAGCAGCAGACAAGACAAGGCCTCCGGGTGTTCTAGGAACTCAAAGACGAGGAGGAGTCACAGGACTGATCAGACTGGAGGACAGGGACCCTTTCCTGGACACCACTCACCTTTATATTTAAGGTGCTGCAGGATGGGGATGATGGCCTCCAGGGGGATCCTGTGAGCCAGGAACTGCTGCCAGGTGCTGTACTGCTCGAAGGTCTCCCAGTCTAGAGACTAAACTGGACACAAGAAAAAGACGATGGGTGTCCTTTGAGAGATGTTGAGCACAGAGTCCTTCATGAATATCACCAGGGTCCCCATCATCATGTGACACATCAGCTCCTGCAGCTGAAACACAGAGAGATCTGCTTACTGAACACAACCTGGATCAGAACCAGCCTAAAGGTTCTGCAGTGGCGAGTCCTGATCAGCTGTTACCTGTTTGGAGTCGATGATGGCTACGATCATGTTGAGCACCTAAACACTCCACAGCGTCTTATCTGGGAACTGAGATAGAAACATTCAGATCTCGATCTGAGTGTTGGTGTAAATGGAGAGGGTGAGGCAGCAGAGCAGCCAGACGTCGTCCTCCTGACACACCTTCATGCTTCTATTCCCCCATACAAACCCCCACACTGAGTGTGGCAGGTGTTGTTACCCAGCGCATGAAGTCCAGCAGCGTGGCGGTGATGGTGGGATGAGGTTTCATGGAGTGATGCATCACCAGGATGGCCGGTTGTTTAATGATAACACTAGCAATACTTTATTATTTGGTGACGGTTATTTCGTAAGACTAGACCCAACGGGCATGAGGTAGGCCTGCATGGTATGAGGAAAATATTCAATGTGCGATAATATTGGTATATATCGTGATAACATATAACTTGCAATAAACTTATTGAAGTGTGCATATTATCGGCGTGGTTGTTTTAAAATTTATAAGATTGGAATTTAATACAGCTAAATGCTGTTTCTAGAGCAGCAACATTTGTTTACATCATGAATAGTGACGTTTAGAAAGAATAAAAACTCAGTCTGTATCAGACCTTCCTCCTCCCCTCTGCTGTTATTCACTGCCTGCAGGTAACGTTACCTGGTAGGAGGAGCGGCTGGTTTCTCAGCCAGCAGCTGAGTTTACAACAATGTTCCAAATTTTAAGGCTGCAGACAGCTATTTAGCTTGTTTGGGTTTTTTTACATTTGGGTAACTGACATTACATGACGATTACATTGATAGGCTACGTTTAAATTTCGAGCAGCACACCACAAAGCTTGTTCAATCATGTTTTTATCAACTTAGAAATATAGCAAAAATTCAATCTATTAACTTTTAAGGACATGAGAACATTTTACATGCCTTCATCTCATAACGCCTGGATTATTGCAACCTTTTCACTTGTTTAACCCAAAAATCTACTGATCGACTCCAGACTGTCCAGAACTCAGCTGCCAGGCTTTTAACCAGAACAAAGAAATATGACCACATTACCCCTATTTTAGCTTCATTACACTGGCTCCCAGTGTGATTTAGAATTAGGTATTGTATTGTCTTTGCACTTGTTGAAGCACTTTGTAACTTGTTTTTGAAAAGTGCTCTACAAATAAAAATTATTATTAGCTGTGCTAGTAAACAGCCTACAGGAGACAGACTGAGAACAGAAATGATTTCCCTTACAGACAGGTGTATTTCGAGACATAAAGTTACATTATAGGATCCACTAGTCTTGATAGCAGTATTGCTAAGCTCGGACATTGACTTTGAGAAATTTTGGAACCGGGTCTCGATCCACATCCCTACTTAGCACTAGCCAAACTGATTAGCATGTTAGCCGTTAGTTAGCTCGCCAATTAAATAAGTTCACCAACTGTCATCACCAAGATTCTGGGCCTTTAAACTAATGCAGTTACTGTTTGTAACTAACTCCATTTAGAGAGAACACACTCACACTCTGGCATTGGACGATGTCAACAATGAATCACTGGGATGGATGATTACATTGATGGGCTATGTAATTAAACAAGCTGGCATGCGGTGCACCTGCTGCCATGAAAAAGGGTCACGGGTGGAAATATCCAGAAAAATTACGAGTTCTGTGTCTTTTCTTTTGTGTCTTTTTTTTTTAAACATAACCTACTGCTTATGGAGAAATTCTGGGCTGCAGACAGCGACAGAGAGGCAGGGAAAGTGTTTGCAGTGAGAGACCAAACGTAAAGGTGTGTGAGTGCAGGGAGAAGTCGAGGCAAATGCAAAGCAGGTACATTTAGAAATAAAAATAATGTCTGTGGGGATTAAAACATGCTTTCGCAGGGTGTGAAATTTAACAATTTTCCAATAAAGAAATATGCAATTCCACATAATTTTGTAACATTGTTATTACCACATCTGTGAACAACAAGTAGAGTAAGATTTTGAATACACTACACCCAAAAGCAAAACTTGCTAAATAAGTTTACATAGTCTACATATAGTAATGAGCATACTTATTGGCTGTGGGACAGTGGATAAGACACATGCCTTTGGTGAGAGAGACCTGCGCTTGATTTCAATTGTGACGCATCCATAAATGTGTCCCTGAGCAAGACACTTAACTCTTTGTTGTTCCAGAGGCGCGCCACCTTTAACATATGGCAATTGTAAGTGGAATACACTCCACCTTGTTCACTTTACCAGGTCTTCTGACTTTGCTTGGTGTGTATGAGGCAGATGCTGCAGCATTATATTAAACAAACTCACACCAAATCTTAAGAAGCAGAGATAAAAGAACCAGTGACGTTGCAGCTTATCAATACCAACATTACAATATTTAATAATTTGGAGCTGGAGCTCATTTAATACCCATCCCTAAAAGAAACATAGCAGTTTGTCAAGACCACCAACTATAGCAATGTTTCTTTAACTTAACATTACTGAGAAGACATTGTCATTTGGTAGACAATTTTATCCAAAGCAACTTACATTTCTGGAACAACATACAAGCATTAACAAAGCAAAATTAATTTAACTAGCTAACATGACTGCCAAACACACTTTGGAAAGGGCTGTGAAAATAATTCAGTAAGGTAACACTACTTACTACTAAATAGGAAGTTACTTATTCATACAACACTAATTTGCTACGTCCTTGTAGAAATCCCCGCAAATTGTTCGACAGGGATATCTACAGTACATCTAAAGTTAGCTTGTTCAACGTTAGCCAGCTCCTAGAGGACTCTGAAATTTTAAGTGATATATCGAAGATTACAACTATTACAGCAAAATTACTTTTCCACGATGACAATGTTAACGTTACCTCTTGCCAACACGGTCTAGTTTACTTCACTTCTCAATTTATTGGCACATTTAAGCCATCAACTCAGTCACGTTAGCCCTACGGAATTCTGTTTAAATATAAAACCAGCCAGCTGGAGTTCATGGTGAACATCAATATCAAGTTATTCTACAACACTGGTTCTGTTAAAATACAAACCAATGGTTTAATAAGTAGGAGAGACTTACCACAGTCCAATGACGGTACGTTTAACATACAGTGTGCACGTTTTACTTTCACAAAGCGCGTGTTGCCGGTTATATACATGACATTCTACCTGACCGTCCAAGCTTCGTACGCCACGAAGTTTGAATTCAGCGGACAAAACATAGCAAAACAGATATTACATACATTACATATAACGGAAACAGTGAACAGACAGTTGTGTATGGAAGTGCGCTGATTTTTACTGCATTTATAACCACAGCTGTGTTTACAAATGTGTTGCAGCTGATTGGGTAACACCTCTGACACGCCCCTTGCCCAACATAGCACAATGTTGATTGAAAAACTGTTAACGTTAATTAATAACTCATTTACAAAGTTTGAGAGAACCCAGCTTTCTTTGCAGTGCTGTGGAAGTGGGGGTTTTTTCTGTTCTGTGACTTTATTTTATAATCGTACGCTGGGATGACCGGAGGCAGTATGTGGAGTCAGTTTGCCGCATTCCTTTTTATATAAAGTTCAACATCCAACCAAAACATTCTACAGTATATACATTGATAAAACAAATGACAAATTGATTCTTCATGTAATTGATTAATATTCAATCTAAATTTCTGAAACGTCTTTTTTACCGGATATATGATGTAATATCTTAAAGGATAGCCTACTTCTTTTACTTTGTTGTTAAGACAGAATTTGTCTACAATGAGCCACGTTTTCTGCCAATTAATTTCTCCATAGAGTGAAGTCCAAAAGAGTCTGCCTGGAGACATAGTAAAACCTTGAATGCAGTTCTTGAACTGAGCATCTCTTCTGACAGCCAGAAGTTTCAATCAATGTTTGACTGAAACTCTCTGGGACAATCTAGTCCAGATTTGAGAGCTCTAGGTATAGTGGTTATGGATCTGGACCTGATCTGATGTGGTCTACACATGAAAAAAGCAGATAAATCATCCTTTAAAGTATTTTCACAAATTGAATAAAGGTTTCACAAATCTGAAACTATGTTTGATTGAAACTTTAGCCTCTGTGGAATAATCTAGTTCAGATTTCAGACCTCTAGGTATATACTGCCCAATCGGAAGCCTAACCATGGTTCAGTTTGATCCGGACCGATACTACTTCTTTTTGGGGTCTTTCACACCTACCTCATTTCGTCAGGACTTTCGCATTTTTCTGTTTGGTCCAAACCAAAATTGCAGGTGTGATACTATGGACCACGGTCCGGACCAAATTGGTCCGACTAAAAGAGGTCTCGGTCCAGATCAAACTTAACCATGGTTTGGTTCGTTTCTGGTTTGAAATCATTTTTTTTTTTGGATGGTTCAGACTTTCAGACTATTTACAGGAATTTTGGCGGTTGTCATGTAAACCGGAAACAAACAAATGCATGGAGAAATGCACTGGAATAAGGACACAAATATAAATCTCCCGTGACAGATCATCTTTTCAAACAGATGGCCATTATAGAAGCACACTGCCACATACATCTTTGGTTTCTCCTGAAACGGAGGTGCAGAAAGATTGCTTGCTGCTTTCTCCTCCTTTCCTGTCAGCGACATTATAATGTTCGCACAACGAGGACTTTAATTGCGAATTTGAACTAGGCTTCAGTATAGTTGGTGCTGCAGATCGTAATGCCATAATAATAATACAGTGGCAAATATGCACATGTTCATTTTTTATTTATTCATTCATTCTTGTCAAAGATAGGCTACCCGCTGAGTTGTTTAATAAACCAATCAATGTCAAGTATAAGGAGAGGCAGCCCACATAGATGATGACGACAGGACGCAAGTCTCTCATGTAAATTTCTTTAGTGCGGTTGTAGAATTGCAGTGTGTAACCAAACCAAGACTAACCGAATGTATCAAAACATGAACTTTGGTTCGGACCTTGGTGCGGACTTTCAGGTGTGAAAGCCCCCTTCAGCGTTACGTTAGTCCTTTACTGTGGAGACAGTCGAGCGCTACCTTCATATAAGTTAACAAGCGGTTTCTGAACGCAGTGTTTGTAGTAAGATGTACGGTTCCTCAAAAGTAAAAACATTCATAATGTGGAACAATATGAGCCTAGTTTTTTAAATACATTTAGCCGACCCTTTTATCCAAAGCGACTTCCAATTGCTATGTCTGCCAGAGATTGCATGCCTCTGGATCAACTAGGGGTTAAGTGTCTTGCTCAAGGTTAAATATGATATGAAAACCCCTCCAGTTGGGAGATTTTCAAGTCAGATCAGTTGGAACTGTGTAATTATGTTTGTATGATAAGTATTTAATATGTTTATATTTAACTTATATCTGTTTTAATAAATCTGTCCTCTCAAGTGTACCTGACCTCTGAGTTTCCTTGAGCTTCAAAGACATTTTGGTAAGATGTATACTGAAATAGTGTTGCTACACGGCTGAATGTTTCATTTCATCAGCGGTGAACCTAATAAACCCGTCAGCCGTTCAATTGCTGACACAAGTTGCCTCATCTGAAGTGGCTGTAATATGTATTTGTAAAGGAATATTTTTCCTCTGTGGTAATGAAAGTTGGTGAGGAATGTTCAGTTTTTATTTAAATTTAATATTATTATTTGTTCATTTTGGCAGATGTAGTGAACTGTATTGCGTTATAAACAGCTGAGTCTCTTTTATTTAGCATGGCCTCACTGATAGGGATAGACAAAATATCAGCAACACCAGTCCATGTGATCCAAAACGATCATACAGTTGCAATAAAAACTGAACATTATCATTTTTATGAAGGGAGGATTTCTTGCAGAAATGTTGGATTTAGCTATATGTACCAAATACACTGGTAACTAAGCCGAGAAAACTGTAGATCTATTACAGTATTAAGTGTAAACATTTTTCACTGTAGGCTCTGTTAAAGGCTGTTATAAACTTATGATGAGATGGTTGAATGACTCCTTTATGGTTCTTAAGCTATTTAGTAACTGACTGAAATTGTCTGTTGAGAAAAAACACAAGGGTCTGTATTGGTGTGCAAATGTTGCTTCAGATAGAAGTTAAATGATGAAATATTATACAATTAGTCTAGTTTAAAATGTATTTGATTGGCTAACTCGATTCTTAGCCACATAGTCTTTCATTTTGATGCAGCAAAACCTAAGTTAGGTTAAAGGAATTTGCAGGATGACCCTGCATTTTCTTTTGTCAATGCATTTCTCAGGTAAAAACGATATTATTTTTGCCCGGCCAGCCATCCTGCTTAAAGCAAGTAATTAATGCATTATGTTTTTCTGTCAAGCCCCAAGTTGGAAACCATTAATCTGCATACATTTATGTGTTTGCAGGTGTTTGCTGAGTTCAACGCTTTACAAATGTTGAACCTATGCAACCAATTCTACTGCGAACTTGAGCGATACACACCACAACTGATTGCCCTGTACAGGCAGAAGGCCAAGAGAGCAGAGGCCCTGCAGAGATCCTCAGGATTTATGGCCTTCAGGTGAGTTTAAGATTACCTTTGCCATAGCAACATTGTTGATCACATAATGGTCAGTCAATAAAGATTGGGTCTTCTGTACTATAATAATGAAATTTGATTATGATATTGTCTTGTGATGACTAGGAGGACAGAGCCATCTACTTTCAATTGTCATTTCTCATTTGCATTTACTTTTGTAAGTTTTCCGGTACTTGATCACTTTGTTTTTTGGGCAGTAAAACACACAACTGACAATGAAAGTTGAAAGCGGACAGATAGCAGCCTGTATGTATCTGTCGCTGTATGATACAGCAAGAAAGAAACTGAAAAGGGCAGTGCAAGCTGGTGTGTGTGCAGCGTTGCGCGGGACAGAACTGTAGGTGCTTGTGCGAATCTCCACATCCCAAAATTGAAAACTTAATACCAACCCAATGAAGGAATAGTCGAATATTTGGGTCCAGCCCTACTGCACTGGCTTCCAAATCTCTTCTTGACTTGTGTTTTAGTAGATGCAGCTGGATGGCTTTGTTGTTATTGCTATCAATATTATTATTATCTTAGAATTACATTGGTAGAACTATTATACTTTATGGCTTGATGTGCCGTAAAAATATTGTATAATAATAATAATTTTGATTGTCAATCTAGGAACAACACGAGGTGCCCATCTGACCCTCCGTGACCTCCCAGTGAACCTGCTAACGGATGACTGACGTCTTCAAAACCTGCAATGTAAGTACTCAGTGGACTCACAGAAATGTCTATCAACGACAAGTAATATGAAATGTACTACTGAAAAGCAACTCGAATACCTCTTCCAGCAACTGACAGGTTTAAAGAGATGAAAGGTTTGTGTTTATTTGTAGTATATCTCAAAACAATGCTAAAATGTGTACAGTGAAAAGGTTACTGTTGGCATCCCCTTCATTGGCATGAACTACACATTTAAAGCTCCCTTTTATATTATTTAAGTAAAAGTGCTGCTGATGGAATAAATGCATACTGTGTTTTCCACAAAACACATCAAAATACGTATCTCAATAAGAATCTGGAAATAGAGAATGTTCAACATTATTGCAAAAAAGAATGAAAACAAATTTCTTATCAAAATTCTTGCTGGTTAATTATCTGATCAAGCAGTCAATTACTTAGTCTAGTATGCAGAAATTAAATGTTTTTTAAAAATGTATTATATTTAAGTTAAGGTTTATTCAAATATTATTACCACTACTTAAAAAGTTTGAGGTAATCAGTTTCCACAAATGTGGTGCGGACCAGATGAAGGCTGTATTTCGGTTTCCCTTGCTGCTGAAAAAATTGAAGTGTGAAAAAAGTTCCCACTAAATGACGGCCCACTAGAGGGCCTCACCTTTCTGCAAAGAGCCATCAGCTCCGTACCTGATTGTTCACACTTTTGTTTTTATGATTTTCCAATTTATCCTTTATTGTCATGTTTTTTTAATGTTGGATATTATCTTTTCTATTCCCTTGCATTGTTCATGTAGACTGTGTTGTCATGTCTTACATCTTGAAGTCTTTCCTTATCAAAAAATCCTTTACACAAAAAAAGAGGTTTTACTCATTGCTCTTGTCCATAGAAACAGACAAAATCAAAAGTCTTTCATTTATCTTTAATAGATGCAAATCTATGCAGATTGTTTTAAATACTCATTTGAAGTTAATGGACATTTAATTTGGTAGAGATGCATTTTTACCATCAGTCAACATTTGATAAAGGCTCATAATGAAAAAACATGTCAGTTTAAAAAAGTTATTGTGGTTTTTAATGCACAGAGGGACCAAGAAATGCAAATATTTTACAAAGCTTTTCACTGACTGGGACCATTAAATGGCTTAATTTTTTTGCGATGGTTGACATTATTATCCTTCAAGTTCTATTCTACACTAATCCACCTGTAAGCCACCTGAATATTGAAAATTGAATAGACTCAAATGAGAGCAGACTATTTTAACATCTTGCAAGCATCACAACAATGGGCTTACTAGCAAACTCCTTTCATAATTAAAAAAAATATTTAAAAAACTGTACTGTATTAAACACACTGTATTACATTTACAGAATAAGTCATAATTACAGTAATTTGAGTGAGAACTCACCATCACAAAAGTAATCTTAAATGGACATCATCATAAATCATATGAACATATTTGCTATAATGGCTCCACATCCACTGCGACTAATTAATACGTTTTGTACAAGCCCATGAAAAACATGACCTCCTTTTAAAGTGCCAGCAAATAACAATTGATCCCGTACAAACTACATATTATGACAAACACAGGCACTTGCACGCTGTAGAAAAACAGCAAAAGTCAGATTTGAATACTGAACGCAGCTTGCTACAAACGGCAAATCTAAAACCAGTTCCTATACTTATGCTGAGATTAAACAGATTTTACTAAATACACACTGGACATTGTCATGTTTTAAATCAGAAGTGAAGAATTGAATGCAAGAAAATGATGTACCTCAACAGCAACTAGTACAATGACCCACGTGAGAAGTTTTGCACTCTAACATGCTGTTCTTCGACTGGCATTTGGCAAATGAACAGTCGATGCAGCATTGACTTCAAATGCCTCCTAAACTTCACGCCAACAAATGCATAAAAGACAGGGTTCAGGCAGCAGTGGGAGAAAGCAATGAGCCGGCACATATAGAATGCATAGTCGAGCTGGATACTTGCTTCGCAGTTATGAAATGGTGGAACCAAATGGTCATCCAAGATCTTCAGAAAGATGACAACATTGTACGGCACCCAGCCGATGAAGAACACAGCCACAATACAGAAGACTAGCTTAACTGCTCTGTTCTTCGTGTGAGATCTTGATTTTGTGATTTTCCTAAGTATTTGAATGTAGCAGAAAGCCATCACTGCAAAAGCAACCAAGAAGAAAAGATTCTGTTGGGAGATACTAATGTTTTTCCACAGGGTAGCATCATATTCGCAGCCTTGGGAGTGTTCATCCTTGTGGTGGATTACGACGAGGGAGCTGTAGAGCAGGGAGGGCATGGCTGCTCCAATGCTGATCATCCACAGTAGGACAGAGACGAAAACCCCGGAGCTGAGTTTCTGAGTGCTCATGTCAGGGAGAGGCTGCACCACCGCCAGATACCTGTAGATGGTCATGACGGTCAGGAAGAGGACGCTGCTGTAAAACCCAGTGAAGAAAACAAAAGTCACAATTTTGCAGAGGGTCTCTGAAAACATCCATCCCCAGATATGGTAATGGGCCCAGAAGGGAAGACCGGTGGTGAAAACAAGGTCAGAAATGGCCAGGTTTAGGATGAAAACGTTGGTGAGAGACTTGAGGTTTTCAAACAAAGCCAGGATTACAAGGACGAGGATGTTTCCGATGAGGCTTAGTGTGATCACAAGAGAGAAGAAGACAGGAATGACAATGGATCCAAATTTGACCACCGCTCCCTTTTCACAGACTTCATCAGAATAGTCATATTCGCTGTAATTTAAAGAGTCCGTCATTTCTGTTAAACTGGATCCTAGGAGAGAAAAAGGATTAGTATGTGCATTACTGTTGGTTCTTTTCATCTTGCATATCAAGTGATTCATTTCTGAGATTTCATTTTATTGTTTAATGCAAATCAACAGAGACAGGAAGGGTAGTAATAGTAATGATGTTAAAGGTCTTTTTTAATGACTGTGTGTGTGTATGTATGTATGTATGTATGTATGTATATATATATATATATATATATATATATATATATATATATATATATATATATATAAAAATCAGTAAGGAGGTGCAATTAATGACAGTGAAACAGTAAAATTCTTTTAAGAGAGCATAATAGCATTGTAAAGCAAAACACTGACCTACCTCTTGCGTGATGGGATGGATATGTTGTTGGATGTGACACCTTTTATATACTCAAAAGAGAGTTAAAAAAAAAAAAAAGGGGATCTCTTTAGAAGTAGGAAATGAAACACTGAAAGTGTTTGTGCACAAAAATTGATGCAGCAGAGGCCGATCTGTCCTGACTTTTAGTCCCTAGGTCAAGGTCTGGAAACACTTAATCCTACATTTCCCATAATTTTCCCAATGGCATCTTTTAATTAGACCCTCCCTGCCTGGTAAATGCCTGTGTCATAAAACTCCAAGCTCTAACTGAGATTTCAGGTTTTTTCTAAGATTTAACAAACTCTTTCACAGAAAAAATCACTAACTGTTTTCAACGACTCAGTGTTGCTAGAAAGCTGATCTTTGACTGTTAAAAAAATAACTAATACTATTCTATTCTTATTTCTACCTTGTTCTGCAACACCCGAATGTCCTCTCTTGGGGATCAATAAAGGATTATCTTAAAATCAATTGAGTGTCCCTTTTAAGAAATGAGACCTCACTAAAACTGACCAATGAAATGGGTCATATTATCATATCATTTTAAATATCAGGTGATTTTATTTGTAGGTATCACAAATCACTATATATGATTTCCACATCACAAAAGGCAGAGGTAATACTTGTAAACAGACGTTTTGTATGGTTGAAAGAGGTGCAGTTACATTAAATATATTTCAAAAATGTATTCATACCTTTCCCTGCAATTAAACCTGAAATGATTATGTTAAGGTCCTACTGTCAAATCAACAAAGGACCACAGAAAAGTGGGAGCATCTACGGCATAGACTGTAAGTTCGTGCTTGATCACATGACATTTTGTTTACTCTTCGGCCACAACCAAACTACCCAGTTTCAGGGTCCCGCCTACCAACCTCGTAGTCATTGGTCCGAGGGTTGCGCGTCGCTTTGTCAGTGGATGGCACAATGTCCATCACGAGACTGTCAACAAGTTTGTATGCACACAAACGATCTGAGTTGTTATGGACAGGAGTCATATCTGTAAAAGTATGTCAAACTTATTATTATTTTCTAATTATTTCACCAGCAACTACCTGGAGGCATGTAAGATTATTAAAGTTGTCGTTTCTTGGTGAAGCCACTGTTGTTTTCAACCTGTCTGTCAAGGGATCACTGTGTCAGATACCGTCCCTGGGACAGCTTCAACGTCTGTAAAAGTTTGAGCTGCCAGCTGTGCATTGTTGTCCATCGTTCTTATATGTTAGAAAAGTAATATTTGCGCCGTAAGAGCCGATAGTTAGTGTTGTAAAACGGTTCTTGATGTTTCCAACTCACGCTAACCTAGTTAGTTATGCTAAGGTTAGCAGTTAGCTAAACAAATCTTAACATGGTTTAGGTAAACACGTTACTAAATTGTAAATGCTTGTGTATAAAAATGTATTTTGAGGCTGGTCTTACGTTACCACAGTGTAACCACTTTCATAATGTTGGGGATTTCTTACAACACACTTACTGCATACTTTGTTGACGTTCTTATATCTAACAAACAGGAGGTTTCAGGAGGTGGACACAGTAACATTACCACCGTCACAGTATCAAATTACCAGTAACTTAAAACCTACAATAATAAATAGGCCTACTACCTCTGTAAATATTATAATTTTCATTTTAGTGGGCACTGTATCAGAGAGATGTTACTCAACGACCTGGCAGTCTTTGCAGCCATAATTTGTGTTGTTGGTGTTTAACAGACTTTTATTGCTGCACAGATATTGTAGTAGATTATATCTGGTCCACAAGCTGTTTTTACCCCGACTGTCATGTAGAGAATATTCAGTATTATGTGACAAACACAATCTTCTATACATTTTATAACACATTTTCTATGAAAGCATTGACATACTCTCAGACACTGTTTGGTTATGTAAAAGCATGGGAATTGTACATTTTGCAACACGTATGTCTCTTTTCTTATGGGTAATGAAAGTAAATTTTAGTGAAAAGTAACTCACTGCAGTTGACAGTATTTTTTGTGGAGTGAGACTTGGTAACAACGTGGCTTAGAGGTTAGTCTCATTGAACCAGAATCCAGCAAGAGCCAGATTCCATTTACATTAGAATATTTTAAAACACACTGTGCCCTTTTGCATCCCTGTTATTGCATCCCTATAATTTCATACAAATGATTAATGTACTTTATTGTTGCAGTTATATGAGAATGTAATTATGATTTTAGATAGTTTTAGATTTAGTTTGAATGTTACAAAACAAAAATCCATAGTTTGATAGAAATAAAAGATTACAGCTGAATAATAACTTAGCTGGTAGTCAAAAGAGCAGAATGTGTAAAAGGATATTTACAGATTATACAGTAACAGATCAAATTGCATATGTGACAGAACATTATATCTATGTCAGGCTGACTTTCAGGGCTTAGAGCGACATTTTCTGCACTCAATTCGTCAATTTACCCATTATGAGAACTCTCAATAATGTGTAGCTCATTTATGTGTATCAAGCATGCACATGGGTGGCCACGAGAGAGTACAGTATGTTAGGTCATTCATGTCGATCTTTTGTTCCTGACTAGTTCTGATTCTCTGATTCAGCAGACTGGATGTGACCCTGTGACCCCTGGTTGCCAGGGAGAGAGCGGTGGGGCCATGGCTTCTGGGGCTTCGGTCGGGGAGAGCCAACTCCAGAGGATTATCCGAGATCTGCATGGTACGCCAGCTTTATGTGCGTGTGCCTGTTCGTGTGATTGTGTGTGAATAGACTGGCGGAGGGCAGTTGATGGCTGACATGGTGTGACTGAAGAGAGGAGAAAGGAGAGTCAGAAAGGTTTGCCATGGTCTCAGTGTCAAGTGTACGTACAGTCTTTACACCTGGAACAATCTGACCGCTCCTGCTCATCAAATCATTTGGGAAAACGTGCATCTGAACTCATGTCCCTGCAGTAAGGGTGTGGTGGAAGCCTTTGTGAGCATGCAGCGAGACAGAAAGTGCGTACTGAGGGTGCAACCATCACAGGTGTCCTTCCAGTTTTTGCGATGGATTCGAGGCAAGTGGTTGATTTAGAGACTAGATGTGGATGAAGAGTGTGGAACTGGAAAACCATTGAAAACATAGGCACCAGGGCCATTTGTGTGTGAGTGTGTAACCAGAATGCACCAAGAGATGAAAATATTACAGAAGTATAATTTTGCACATCCTTTGAGCTATTTTTAGAATATGTGGTTTTAGGTAAGGTAACATTTTACTTCTTTTTTGCTCTTTTCTTTCCTGCTACTTATAATGTATGTACCTGTAAGAAGGATGTGTATTTTAAATCTGTGTTCCAAGTGAAATCTGCGTGCCACCTGTTTGAATGAACCCTGTTATTAATCAATGATTCGAACTATGTGAATTTCAGAGGCTGTTGCAGACCTTGCAAAGGAGTACAGGGAAAGTGGGGAGCCAATCACAGATGACAGTACCAGTCTGCACAAATTCTCCTATAAACTGGAGTACCTGCTACAGGTTTGATTTTTCTAACAGTATATTGTCTCACCTGGGTAATTGTCTCCCAATTACTCAAGGAAGACGTGAATAGATCATTAATTCTTCCCAAATAAGATACTCGAAATAGTTAGAAAAATGTTATGTCTGCTCTTACAAAATAAATAAAAGGAGGAATGTGTGATGATTAATTCATATCTTTAGATCCAACATGGATAACTTTTTTTTTTTTTTATTGCTAAAAACGTTACAAGTTGCCTCAAAAAATGATCCATGTTCAACAGTTTTTTTTTTTCCAACTGTACCTATATATGTATCTATCTTCAGTTTGACCAGAAGGAAAAGACCACATTTCTCGGTACAAAGAAGGATTATTGGGAATATTTCAACGACTGTCTGGCTAAGATCAAAGGAGCCAATGATGGGATCCGTTTTGTCAAATCCATCACTGAGGTATGAAGATTTTTGTTGTTGTTTACAATTACGCAACAACTATAGCACTGATTATATACTGATCATTAATATTAACCTAAAGTCGTTGTATCTGTTTTACCTCCACCCACAATGACTCAAAAAGATTTTTGCTTCCTGTTTCTTTCTCATCTCTTATAGTATACAGACATGGCACAACATACACAAAGAGCCTGTCATATAACTCTTTTTATATTGCTGTTCAAAAAACATTTCATCCAATATTTTATGTCTTCTTTCTTTTTTTATTGTTTGTTGCATTTAAAATAGCTCTTATCTACATGTTTATAGCATGTTTTAGTTGAGATTAAAATGACAGTTTAGATTAGATACTGAATAGTCGAACTTTCTAATTTTTGACTTGTGAGATATCCGTGCTGTGTGAGCATAAAGTACCAGTTGAAAGCTCAGTGTAAAACCCAGTCATATATTGCTTTCATAGCTGAAGACATCTCTGGGGAAAGGAAGAGCCTTTATCCGTTATTCTCTCGTACATCAGCGACTGGCTGACACCCTGCAGCAGTGCCTGATGAACCAGAGAGTCACCAGGTAAACCTGCACAATACAGTCTGTTTGCAAAGTTTAGTTTTTTGCTGTCATTTAAAATAGGAAGAATGATCTGCTTTTGTTGAAATGCAAGTAAAGTGAAGTGTGTTATTTTTGAGGAATTTCTGTATTTCCTGCTTGAAATGTCATTTGTGTCAAGGTTTAAATATGGGACAAAGTTCCTTTTTATTACTCAGTGTATTGTTTCTAGATGTTCTGCTTTGTCTTACTGTAACCTCAACCTCATCTCTCTTCCCACAGTGACTGGTACTATGCGAGGAGCCCCTTCTTGAAGCCCCACCTTAGTGTTGACATTATAAATCACCTATACGAACTCAATGATGTCCAGTTTGATGTGGCTTCCAGAGGTCATGATCTTGATGCCTCCTGGCCTACTTTTGCAAGGTAACAGGCAAATCATGACAAATGTATCTGTCAGATATCTAAATAAGCATCAAAAAATTATTTGTTTGTCCAAACACAGCCTTTGCACCTACTTTGGAGTTTATTCCAGATGTGTGATATTTACCAATGTTTAAAGTATCAGATTTATTTTCTGATCAACAGGAGGACACTGGGAAGTGCAAACTCACCTGGCCACATGTGGAAACCACCCAGTCGTAGTTCGAGTATTAACAGTCTGGCCAGCACTTACTCCCAGGTAACTGATGTACAGTATGTCTCTATTTTATCATAATTTTAAAATGATAGTGTCATGTTCATCACTATTTCTCTGTTCCTTCTCTTCTCCTCTGGTTCCCCTTGCAACCATCTAGCAAGCACCCGAATTCCCCTCTAGCCCGGACTATGGTCAAGGTCTGCTGAATGACCTGAACGAGTCTCTGCCTGCCTGCACCGAAGATATCAGCACAGTTGAAGACCTTCGCCTGGAGCTGGACCAGTCAGAGCTGAAGCAGCGAGAGTTCCTAGATAAGGTGCAGCAGCTGGGCGAGGAGGCTGCTGAGCTCAGGGGGGTGGTCGTGGAGCTCCAGAGGCAACTGGATGTGTCCCTTTCTGCCCAAGAGAAGCAGCAGGGCTTGCAGGGAGAACTCAAGGCTCTGCAGGGGAGAGAGGAGGCCCTGTCCAGGGAGGTCGAAGTGCTCAGGACTGGGGAAAAGGCCAGGGAGGCTGAACAACAACTGCTCCAGGAAAAGTTGGCAGCTGCTGAGGGGAAGAACATAGAGCTCCTGGCCAAGTTGGACGGGGTTCTGAATGAGAAGGGCCAGCAGGCAGCCAGTTACTTTGATTCAGCTCAAAAGATACATGAGTTGCTGGACAGATTGAAAGAGGCTGAGAAAGGGAAGATGGAAGCTGTAGCTGAGGTAGAGGAGAAGAAAAGACAGGCAGAGAGGTTAGAGGAGGAGCTGAGAGCCAAGGAGGCAGCCAAAAGGGATGGTGAAACCAAACTTGGAGCGTTAGTTGCATCTGTGTCTGAGGAGAAGGCCAAGTTGGAGGCGAAAGTGGATGAACAGTGCATCGCCCTTGATAAGCTGCAGGGGGCCTTGACAGTGAGAGAGAAGGAGGCGAGTAACCTACAAAGGCAGCTGCAGGACCTCCAAAGATCTCTAGAGGAGAAGGAGAAAGACATGGAAGAGGTTAAGAAGAGAGCAAACCAAGATAAAGATGAAATGCAGAAGAAGGCTGGAGGCTTAAAAGAGTCTTTAGAAACAGAAGTCACTACCCTTAAGGAGAAGCTAAAGAGGAAAGAGGCAGAGCTTACCTCGAGCTGTGAGACACTACAAAAGCTAGAAGCCAAGAACCAAAGCCTGACCAAAGAGAGGGACAAACTGACCACAAACCTTGTTGAGCTGGAGGGTAATGTCAAAGAACAAGCCGCAAAGATAGAAGACTACAAGACTCAGTGCGGCAACCTAATGGAACTAAATGAGAAACTGTTGAACCGGGTGAAGAGAAATGAGGAGCTGAAAAAGGAGATGGCAGAAAACAGAACAGCCCTTGAAGCTGAATTAGCAGCTCTAAGGGCTTCCGAGAAACAGCTTCGGGGCCAGCTGGACGACACCAAGATGACCGTGGATGAAAAAGAGAAGCGCTTGCGTGAGGAGAACCGCAACCTGGATGAGAGTTTGCAGCGAGCCACCATGGACGCAAAGCTCTCAGAGGCCACGTCAAAGCGGCTGGAGCAGGAGAACCAGAGTCTGAGAGAGGAGCAGGACACTGTGAAAGCAGCTCTTAGCCGCATGCAAGCTGATCTGAAGAGTGTTCACGGACAAATCGGAGAGTTGGAGAAGAACTTGGGAGCTTCACGCAGGAATGAAGCAAGCCTTGAAGAGCAGCTCCAAGCCAAAGAGGCCCAGCTAGAGAGTAAAGAGAACAACCTTGTTGAGCTGCAGTCCAGGTTAAAGATTCTGGAGGCCAGGGAGAAGGAGCTGGAGATTGCCAAAGCTGATGCAGAAGCAACCTGTGCTAAACAGACAGAAGTAATTGAAAGGGTTGCCTCTGAGAAACGGATGATGGAGACATCTCAGCTGGAGAGGAGCGCAGTCCAGGCAAAGGAAAGCCAGGAAGTGAAAGTCAAACTGACTACGGTCGAGGGCCAGTTGGAGGTGAGCATGAAAGATGTGTCCAGGCTCCAGGCAGAGATCCTGGACCTCAGGGTGCAGGTAAAGAGGTCTGACGAGGAAAAGCTAAAATCACAAGCACAGCTGGAGGTGACGGAGGCCCAAAGAGATGAGCTCAGGACTCTGACTGAGCAGCTTAAAGCCCAGACAGAAGCACTGAATCAGAGGCATGTAACAGAGCTTCTGGAGTGCAAAAAGAAAGAAGGGGCGCTGATTGAACAGCGTGATCAAGAAGTAGCTGCCCATGCCGAGTTGGCCATCTCTGCGGCAGCCATCCGAGAAAGGCTGTCCACCCTCAAGGCAGAAAATGACAGACTAGCCTTAGAGAACAGCGAGGCACGTGAAGGTCTACACAGGGCAAACACAGAGATGGCGGAGTTGGGGATGACCATCTGTAAGCTAAGTGCAGAAAAGGAGGAGGCCCGAGAGCACTGGGCAGGGGACGCTGCCAGGATTGAAGAGCTGGAGAAACAGGTGGAGCGAATAGAAGAGAGCATGACAGAACTACGGCTGGAGAATACCAAACTAAGAGAGGAGCTGACACAGAGGGAGAAACTTCCGGAGACTATCATAGAGCTCCAGGAGCAGTTGAAAAAAGCCAAGAACCAAATGCAGTGCGTCAAGGACTCTGGCCGAGAGGAGGCGGAGGCCATCAAGTTCCAAATGAGCTCAGAGAGCATGAATCATCAGGTCCAGATGAAGGTGAGTTAGTCATGACTTGTATTACACTCAAGATAGTAATTTGTGCTTTTGGGACTAACATGTGATCTGTGTCTTGATATATTATCTGGATTATGAGGCTGTCTGACTCCTCAATAGACATGGCACATCCCAGGTCAAGGGAAGCAATGACACTAATGGATGTCATTAATTTCTAAATCACTTTTTGCGAGGGAAGTCTTGCTTAGCGACTTGCCAGGCTTCCTTAAGCTAGTGAGAAGAAGCGAAGTTAGGTGACCTTTCAACTTGCCGATGCAGATGTTTTTCTAAAGCATGTGCTCACCATGGACCTTGCCATGAAAGTTTGTGCAGACATTCATTGACCCCAGAAGATAAAACCTAAGGACCCCTGACTTTGACAAAATTTTAATTTGTCTACTACTTTGGTTTATTACTAAATAGCTGCAAAACTTGTGACATCAAAACTAATACTTTGTGATTAGTGCTAATTAGCAAATGTTAGTGTGCTAAAACTCTGAATGAACGGGTTGAACATTGTAAAACATATCTGTTTAGCGTTAGCATTGTAAGCATATTAGTGTTTATTTCAAAGCACCACTGTGCCTAAGTACAACTGTACAGAGCGACTGGCGTGTCAGTAGACTCCACTGATTTCCTTTCTCCTGTGTTACTCTCACATTTCAGAGTGTAAATGAGCAGCTGGATAAGGTGAAAGCCCTGCTGCAGGAGGAGCTGAAGAATGTGTCCAGCTTGCAGGCCAAAGTGTCTGAATTAGAGGTCTGTGTCTTTCAAGCATCAAATACAGTGATTCATGGTCACATAATAAGCAGATGCCTGGTGGTGTTAGTGTGTTCTGTAATCTTTGGAGAGCATGTGCATTTAAAGAGAGATAGATGTATACAGTGATCAGAAAAAATGTGTCTAAAGAAAACCAGATATGATTAAGAACAGAGTAAAGCTAGATAGCACTCAAAAGTGCAACATCCTATACATAGCCTGGAACAGGCACCAACGCGTTTATCATTAGTGGATTTGCAGCAGGGATGGAGAAAAGGAAGCTACAAGCCACAGGGGACATAATAACAGGGACATTATTTAGTACTCATTAACAGTCGATGATTATATGAGAGAGTTTTTTCAGGCCTTTGTTTTTTTATAACGAGACGCTTTGATTGCTTGAGCAGTTTTCTTTGATTGTAGAAGGTATAACAGTACATTCAAAATCACTGCAGTGTACTGGTCCTAGTACAAATAATAGCTTAATGAATGTGCTTTGAGATTATATTTTTGCCTCAATGGTTTGATTTGTTTACAGATCTATATAATATATTTTTAAGATTTAATTTAGCCTGTGTCTCTCCAAAATCGGCATGTTTCTATAGGTCAGAAGAAAAAAAACAATTCTTTAAATTATTGAAAGAGATATTTGTACTGATGAGTATCTTTATGTGTGTTCTTAAAGGCTGTGAATGAGCAATACTTGCAGCTAACTGGTGAGAAAGATGCTCACATCACAAAGACAGAAACAGCCGTTCGTGAGGCTGAGAGTGAGATTCAGCAACTAAGAGAAGGACTAACCAGGTGCGTTTATGAACAGTGATGCCTGTGAATTTCTTCTCCTTTTGGCACAGAAAGATACACTGACTTATTGTCTTTGCATCTGCTCTCATCAGTGCTGAAGAAGCACACTTGGCTGTGCAAAAGGTCTGCGAGGAACTGACACAGAAACTCAACTCAGCAGAAGCTGACAAACAAAACCAGTGGCTGAAGATGACTGCAGAGATCGATGACCTCAACAGAACCAAGGTCAACCTTGAAGAGAGGCTCATCGAGCTTATAAGGTATGACCTGTCTGAAGTACCTCTGTCAGCAGCGTCAATGCTGTCTATTGCAACAGGCATAGAATTTCTTTGACGAAAACAGTGCAGGAAATATGCTGAGAGGCCAACATGAGAGGTAAAGTTTAGTAGAAAGAAGCTGCAGATTAGAACAAAAACTTTTTATGCATCATTCTTTGCTTTGATTCAGGAACCACTGTTGCCTCAAAAGCTTTCATACTCATGAAAGTGCAATGATCCGGTCAACTCCTTTGGGATAAGCCCACATGACAAGTGTATACAGAATCTTTAGTATAAAATAACAATTACAGTTCAGTCCACGGACAGGACATGCTAAATTTGTTCAGTCTTCAAAGATCATGAAGTTTAGTGAAATTTATTTTACAGTATAGCCAGCTTCCATTTTCCTCCAGAGCAGCTTTTGAAACATTCAGCATTAAATGTGTTAACATCGAACGGAACACATTTCTAAACAGCAAGTAAGTTTATTTGCTCGATTTGAAGAAAAAAAAAAACATTTCAAAACTTGACATTTAGTCCCAGTTAAGACAATATTTGTTAAGATGGCATCGAGTAACGTCCATGCGTTTGTGATTTTTGAATTACATTAGGGACAAAGATGCTCTGTGGCAGAAGTCAGACGCTCTGGAGTTCGAGCAGAAACTGCGGGCAGAAGAGCGCTGGTGGTTGGTGGATAAGGAGGCCACACACTGCCTTGGCTGCCAGGGCCAGTTCAGCTGGTGGCTGCGCAGACATCACTGCAGGTGGGTGGGCACTGGGGGCTATGTTACACTGTTGCTCCTGTCAGTCTATGTACCTATCCTGTTTGATCTTCATGCTACACATAGCATCACTTGCATGCTTACTCAATATGAAAGGCATCAAAAATATGTTTTAGTAACACAAGTATAGGTCTGCTATGGAAGAAAACCCATTTATTTTTTCATACATTCATTATTCTTTAGGCTTTGTGGTCGCATCTTCTGCTACTACTGCAGCAACAACTTTGTGATGACCAAGCACTGTAAGAAGAAGGAACGCTGCTGCAGGGACTGTTACACCCAACACAGCGCGGTGGTGGAGAGGTTCACAGCGGCAGAGCTGAGTCCTTCCGACACTCAGCCCCCTCCACTGGGAGCTGGACCTCAGCCACCTCCTGAACCAACCCCGTATAAACCCACTCCCAGGGTAACAGGTAGGCAGGGAGGCAAGCAAGGAACAAAAACACATGCTAACTAGATAACTGCACAAAGTGGCCCTAAGTTTATGCTTTAGTTCTCTGGATGGCTGTCTTGTTTTATTGTGAGTTAAATGGGAAGCAGAAGTAAAAGACTGACTTTATCACATTGAGGAACAAGGACAGACACCATACCACTGAATTCTTCTTCAATAGACAGAAGGGGAAGAGGTTAACATTTCCATTCAGAGATGGAACTCTTTTGCTTTTACTGTAAAGAAGGCTGCAAAATGTTAGGTCTATTTTTTGTAGTGGCTTGCTCGTAAAATCCACTGGCTCCGGCTGTGGCTTATCGCGGCTATTATATACAATGCTTGTGAGTCAACCAGACGGTGCCGCAGCGAAAACACTGAAACACTTTTGAGACTCTTCCAGGGGACTTTGACGCGAGGCTATGGACGCATCAAAACTGTGGCGCAGCCGTAATGTGCTGTACATGCAATAAGATTTTGTATACTGTCTAATCAGAAGACTGTACCATGAGAACAGGTAGAGGTCCAATTGTCCAACAGTTAAATTAATACATTCTTGTTCCTCCCAGTTTCAGATCCAAGCAACAGATCTGACGATGGGGCTTTTGACATAATAACAGAAGAGGAAGTGAACGGCGTCTACGACAGTGACACCACCTCCCAGACCACTGGAGGCTCACTGGAGGAAGAACAAGACCGACGGCATCCAGGAGCCCTGCATATGTGAGTGTAATATTTATCTGGGGACAGAGAAGAGGGATGAGTTGGCACCTGGTTTTGTTCTTAAAACAGCCAAACAGCTAGGCTTTCTTCCAGGTTGCCATGTTGTTTTCACCATAACACCTTGAAAAGTGGGAAGTAGGAAAATGAGAAGAGAACTAGTTCCGTGTTATCAATAATGCACCATTGGTCAGGGGGAATTTAAAAAAAAATTCTGTCCCCTCCCAGGTTTAAAATAGTAATTGAGGTTAGTTCTTCCTCTTACTGATAAGTGAAAAAAACAAAACGGAAGAACTGAGAAGTGACACAGGTACTAAAGGTGGTGGAGAGAGGCATGTGTTACTATTTTGTTGCTCAACTGTATGGAGTGAGTAAGTGCTGCTGTCAAAAAAAGTACAACATTCAAAGATGTACCTCAAAGATAACTGGAAGGAAGATGAGGTAACACTGAACACTGCCATTCTGAGTTGCTACGGTCGTTCACCCTTTCGGCCCTGCAAACCAAATATTGTTGGTTGGCATGATAAACATCCCGACCGATTTGCGTGCTCGGAAACATCACCAAAGACACCAGATTTAAAAACTGGTATCTGGTATACTGTGAAATACAGAGAGATTTACCTGATGGTGTTAGGCTTAATCAGCATTGTGTGATAGTTACATGCATTGAAAACAAAATAATTACTTTTCGTGTCATGTCTTGGATTTTGCAGAGGCACAGGAGATGTGACCCCTGATGACCCTGAAGAGAATGTCCCCACTGTTCAGGATTCAGAAATAAACCTTCTTAAATCAGGAGAAGTCACGTGAGTCTTGACCTCCATATACTTAATGTGTTTGTGTATGCCACCTTGTATAAATCCCACTCTTAAAATTAATTTGTTCTTATTGCAGGATGGCTGTCCCTCTCACCATTGATGATATTTCCCAGTTCTGGGATGGTTCCAGGGAACTCTTCATCAAGTCCAGCTGTTACAGTGTGATAAGTGTTGCTGTGGGTGATTGTGGGCCAACCATCAGCTGGATGTTTTCCTCAGAGCCAAAGAGCATCTCCTTTAGTGTGGTTTACAGGGAATCCACTGATACCCAGGTGGAACAGGCAAAGGTAAAAGCATTTTTATGTCTCTGCATGTGTTGTGAGGCCCAGGAGCCTCTTGGAACCTATACACTTATACAGTATAGAAGCCCAATGAATGTGAACATGCCCTGACATCATTCGCGCCCTGTGTGCGTCTGCCACAGGAAAAGACCAGGACGGCAATGTGGCTGAAAGCATGAGGCTGAAGGGAATGCTTTCCAGTTGTTAGAAACTGCAGTAAGAGTTATTGCCAGACACAATGCATGGACCCTGCGTGTGCTTTCATTGGCACCCCCCTGCAGTGAGCAGGGCTGTTTGCTAGATCTTTTAAATTTGACCCTGCACTTAAAATGGCAGGGGTTGTACATGAGTTATGTCCTTTAGTCTCATATTCCCCTCCCCTCCCTCTCTTGCCAATATTTCCTGTTGTGTGATTTTTTTTTTTCTTATATATTTCTAATATATTTAAATTATCATGATAATGATGACTCCGTTGTTGCTGTCCAACAAACAGTCATGTAACGTAACATAAAACAAGTTCAGAGTATTATTGATAGTATTACAGATAGATTGGCCTAGCAGGGGGAGCTTTGTTGAGCCTCTGACAGAACCTGTACCTTGAGTTTCACTTCAGACCAATGTTTCTGTTCTTCTCTCAGGTCCTGATTCCTCTGACTCGCTGTAATTCCCATAAAGAGACAATTCAGGGACAGCTGAAAGTCCGACAACCTGGCCTGTACACGCTCATCTTTGACAACTCCTTCTCAAGGTATGGAACTCCTGACGTGAATGCAAATGTAAATGCTCCGTACTTGTATAGCGCCTTTCTAGTCTTTTCGACCACTCAAAGCGCTTTTACACTACATCTGCATTCACCAGTCACACACATTCATACACTGAGCCTAAGTGCTCAAACAGAAACTAACATTCACACTCATTCATACACTGGCGGAATAGCCGCCAGGGGCAATTCGGGGTTCAGTATCTTGCCCAAGGACACTTCGACACGCAACCAGGGGGAGCCAGGGATTGAACCGCCGACCTTCCGATTAACGGCAAACCCGCTCTACCTCCTGAGCTACAGCCGCCCTTGTCCGGAGAAGCTTGTGAATTACAGAAATGTTTGATCTCTTATTGTCTTCACCATTTCCTGCCACTGTTGGGCACATGTGTCACACACACACAAAAAAACACACGTGTATGTGTGTGCAATTGGCCTGTAAGCCGACTTCCTATTTGGCCTCAGCGTCTCGTTTCAGTTAATCAGATTTCAGTCCTTTGATGAGAAACCTTTTTCCAACAGGTTTATCTCCAAGAAAGTCTTCTACCATCTGACCATGGAGAAGCCCATAATCTATGATGGAAGCGACTTTGCCTGAGGCTGGATAGTGCACGCTTCCACAGAGGCATCATCAGGATGTCGCTGTGGCAGCTAGAGGGAGACTGAAGATGGCAATTCAGTGACTATTTGTAATTGGATTTGCTCTGTTTTGTTCCCAAAACCTGCTTTTACCCAAGTATTTTATGTTTTCAAAAATGTTTCTGTATTATTTAACTCTGTAGTTTTAATGTTTTCAGCTGTGCACATGTTGGTGGTCCACAAGATGAAAGAGATTTTAGGAAGGAAAAGAAAGAGAAATGTTTATGCAAGTTTTATGGTGATTTTTAAAATATAAACAAAGTAATATACATACCTTTAGTTCAGCTAGGCTAGGTTTTAAATTAATAGGGCGTTCAGTTAGTGTGGAATTTTATTAGTTCTTTCTGTCATTTTTGTCGGTCTTAGTTTTAGTTTGGCCTCTCTTTTCCCAAATATGCTGCTATGTCAGGGAATGCAGATCACTACAAGTAACGCTGTCTGTATGAAAAATTATAGACGACTGTTGTCAGACTACAAATATTTATCTGCAAAGGATGTCTATGAAGACCCGGGAAAAGATTTTTAAATGTTCAAAATCACAGCCAGTTTAAAATGTTTCAGGTGTTTGTGCAATCTTTTTAATCAAATGGCCAGAAGAAGTGGTTTACCCGTGGCTTTTTTGTGACTTGACTTGTCTGGTATGTTTTCACTTTGCCAGGGTAGGAAGGAAACAAAGAAATAACGAGGAACTGGCCTGGGAAAAGTTTCTATTTGATAACAAAGCATACAAACTTTGTGGAAATCTCAGGAGTGTGACACAGAATTGTCCTCCAGTGGTAGCAAGTCCTAAGTTTATGTTTTTGGAAAACTAAAAAAAAGATGCAAAACTGCCGTGTTACTTTCTGTGTAAGGAGACCTACAAACAGGCTTTCTCCATCCGGTTTAGATCCAGTGGTTCTCAAAGTGGGGTCCCTGTACTTAATTCCATCTATAAGTAACACAATGACAGAACATATGACTGTTTTGGTGGATTTCATTCTCTTTTTGTAATTAAACCTCTAAATGCAAAAATCCTATGAGAGAAGCAACCATGGGACAAAATCTTATCAAATGGGGGTCAGTGATCTAATTTGTGTCCATTTAAGGGTCCTTGATGTGAAAAGTTTGTGAACCACTGGTTTAGAGGATCTAATGAAGCAGTGCCTGTACCTACACAGGCTGACTTTGTGCCATTTCAACAACATTGAGTTATAGTATATAAATGCCTGTTGGGTAATGACCTACTGTACTTTCAAAGTGCCTATTAACTCTAATTGCCAGGGATTAGTTTGCTTTTGTAACTGCACATTTAATTTGATGAGAGTATGAAAAAATTAAGATTGGATTTTATTTGAATCTCTGGACTCTTTTTGTCACATGTTTAGATGAACATCTGCACTGCACTGTCAGTAATCAAATGGGCCTGAATATTGTGTGCTGTAAGCAGTAAGAAAAAAGCGAGCTTGGTCACTTTTGGATACAACCTTTCGTCACTTACTGAAGCAAGGGCTTATCTCTATGCTGATTTTGTTGTGCTCAGTTTGCATTTTACAGTCAGATCTCTTATATTTTTTTGACGAGTTTAAGTTAGTGCTATTTGTATGCAAAGCCTGATAATTTCAGAGTTGCACTTTGTGATATTGATTTTATAAATTGTTACAAACAATACTAAATCTGTTAAGTTTACATCTTTGTCAAATAATTCACACTGGGAAAGATTTTTTTCTACTTCCTGTTTGGATCATTTTGGAATAAAATGTGCATGAATCATCACTATGAGCAATATGTCACCCAGTAAACATGAATAAAATGATATCCACTAATCTGTGTCTGGCTTTGTGTTTGACAGCTTGAAACTTAAGAACAGTGAGATCAACATTTAACCTCTGAGTGCAGCCTCATTCATTCAGAAATCGGACATGAGCAAAGACATCAACATGCAAACAAGTATGTTTCCTGTCTAACGATACATCTAAATTTACATCAGAAGAGATGTAGACTGAAGGGGGAAGCATTTTTATGATGCATAAAACCAGACAGTTCAACACAGACAACAGCACTCAACTGAGAATAAAAGCTACAGAAGTTTATTCTGCCATGAACCATGAGACAAACATGTCCTCTGTTCATTTTATTTTGATTTAGTGTGGCTTCACAGAGTAACATCACCTCAGCAGTGCAGTAGCCAAAGACAACCATTGTCATGTCGTCTGTATTTTACCCTAAGGAATGTTTAATAGTATCTACCTGTCTCTGTAACACTGTTGGACATCAGGTGTGGAAATGGCTAATACTCTAAATAACAGATAATATTGATTGATAATGAAAATAGTTGTTACTTGAAGCTCTGGTCTTTATTTGACCTGGTATCTTTGTGGTGTGATTGAAATAAAATGTATATGGGTAAATTCACGAAATCGATGCTTTTTCAACTTTGAAAAGTGAATTTTTTTTTACAAGTTTAATCACCACTTTTAAATTGCCAGGGATTGAAGACCTCTTAAAATGACAAGAAATTGGGTTGTACCATCTCAGACTGTATAATTTTATATTTTGACTGTTTTTCTCCTAAATGTTTTGATAATTCTTCAAACCTGTTACCAAGATAAACATTACTATACACTATATTTCTAATTACTAATATGTACTAGATTGCACATACATGAGCAGTACATTTGTCCTACTTTTCACTGAGGGTTTGGATTAAATTTGGATTGTTTTTGTTTGTTTGTTTTTTCGACCTTTTTATCAAATTAATGACAGTAACAAGATTGACGTAATGGCAGAGATGACAGGACACACATTCTACTTCACATCATTGTCCACACGCTACTATGGAGTTTTACCTCCAATGTTACATAATATTGTTTTGCATTTATGGAAGCAACTGTTAACTAACAATAAGTTCAGTTCAGCATCACTGCATTACAATAAATACCTAAGGATTCATGGGAATATATATAGGTAAATAATACACACACCTTTAAAATGTTTTTATACAGTGAGGCTAACTTTTACAGACAGTGGACCTGGGGTAAACACTGATCTATATGTCAAGCCTGTTACTCTGGAAAAGTAACAGGCTTGACCACTTCAAGCTAATATGCTTATTGGTCAATTGGTCTAAAAGGTCATGGTCACAAAACCACATGCTTACTTAGAAAGGTGATTACTTGTATCATTATATTATGACAAATAAATAATTGTATAGATTAAATGTAAAAAGATGGTAACAGTATTGACATTGTATTAAAAGAGTTCTTTAATCCATAAAAATTGTGTTTCCCACAAAATTGCAGACAAATCGCAGACTCCACAAATTAATAAGATGAACACGTGTCAGAGAGAAAATGTGTCTGTAACTAATCAGCTATAGAAACATAAAGCAAACAAAAAACTGCCTTTTCCATCAGCCTGAGACTCAGTATTTCACCTGTCACTCCCCTCCGTTTGACTGTAAAGTGCAAGTCTAGCCTGATGGTTCCGTAACACACAACAAGACCAACATGTGTGTGTCTGGCGACACAGTCAGGCTCAGGGTAGCAAAGGGATGAATTTCGAGTATCTCACCTAACGCTAGCTGTGAGGGCGCAAACACCCGCTCAATAGGCCTCAGCTGTAAAGCCTCGCGAATAAATTAGGACAATAAAAGACAAATACGTGTCTTCATAATCGTGCAACACATGGTTGTTCTTGGCAAGGCTCTACAAAGCAGTGGATAATACCACTATCAGAGCCCTGTCTCGCCGATAGTTTGTGAGCGAGGGTTTTTATTCTGAAAATATACACAGGAAGCGATGCATTTTCATGTTTGCCTACTTGACAGGTATTGTATTAACACCTGGGGAGACAAGAGGGGCTCAGCATCCCGTCCTGCAGGAGGGTGTTGTAGTCTCGTTGAGGAAAGCGGCACCTTGGACTGAACGGAGGATACTGAGTCAACATGCGCTGTCTCCACATCAGAGGGATTTTTCTCACTCTGTGTTTGGCTCCAGCTGTGAGTGATTTTATTTTAACTTCACTTTTGTCAAAGACAAATGATTATTTTTTTGCCACGTAGAAAACTTGAGGCTCTTATGCAGTAAGTTAAGAGTAAAACGAACAATTGCGATGACTGTTTATGAAAAAACAGAACTGGTCTGTTTCCAGGTGCCTTATATAGCCTGGCTGTTTGGTTCTTCACAGGTCCAAAGTAATTGGCTTAACCTTAATTAACATGTTGCACCATAAAAGACACTATAAGCTAAACAGTTTGAAGCCATATGATCTAGGCTATGTACTGAGTCAATGTAAATAAATATGTTAAATATTCAGCAGTGCAGCCCCAAAAACCATAGAATTGTTCCGTGTGTGTAAATCTACATAAGTTTGCTGGAGATTGGATGTGTGGTGGATGCGTGTGCTGTACAATGTAGTCTATAGGCCACTGTGTATATATAGCTTACATATGTGGTGTAAGTAAGAATATGTAGCCAAAATGCCCACCCAAAAAATCATTCACATTTTTCCACAATTGACTTTTCTTGGTCTTCTATTAAAAGTTATCAAAATTATTTTTGGATTTTGGACAAAAAAAGAGCTTTGGCACTTTCCTCTCTGTGAAAGTTTAATGGTATTTTTTCATTTATGTATTTTTTACTATTTCTGGACATTTTATGGACAGAACAATTAGGCTAATTAATTAATCAAGAAAATACCCTACAGATAAACTGTTTTGGTAATCGGTTTATTGCTTGTTAATTGCAGCACAAACATACTGTTCATGTAGGTTTTGGTACAAATATGTTTAAGATAGTCTGGGAATACAAGTGAGATGCAAGTATGTATTGTGTTTGTGCAGTGAAACGTAATATTAAAAATGTGCATGTACATGTATGAAGAGGCATGGGATATTAGCAAATTAAATTATTTATTTAATTTAAAACCACAAATATTGGAAGCTTTACATTAGACTGTCACACACACATAAATTGGAATACGTTTATGAAGTTAGCTGATATTACCACTTTATTTACTGTCTACAGTGTTTGTACAATTTGTCTTGGCCTATCAACTGAAGAAGTCTGATAGACAACAAACCCTACACACACTGAGACTCACAACAGCTTTTTTTAATCAACATTTTTATAGGGTTGTTATTACATGGCCACCTCGCTAATTTCCACAACAGAATAGAAATATGAGAGGCAAGCAAACTGGTGATATGATTATCAGCGTGGCAGAGAGAGAATGGGAAAAGGGCAGACACTCATCACTGGGTACCACTTGATTCAATTCTCTTCCATTGCTCAGGACTGCAAAGAATTATAATGAACTACCGGGGTCCATAAAACAAACACACACACACACACACACACACATTTCAAAAGAACACTCAGTCACTACAGAATAACACAGAGACCAACAGTACAGTGATGATCTCTTTTGAATGTTCAGATATGATATAATATTTTTGCACTCTAAGCAGCACCTGAGAGAAAAAAAAAGAAAAGATGAAAATTATCTGGGCATCTTTTTTGGCTGCATGAATGTCCAAATATGCATCTTACTCTTATGAAGGGAATAAAAACTTTATTTTTATTATCCGACCTTGTGTTGGATAATGAAAATAAAATAGGCTACCTTGTACGTTTTATGTTTTATGTATTATATTTACTAGCTTTTTTTGCCATGAGTTATATGAGAAGATCAATACCACTTTCATGTCTGTATGAATATAAAACTAATGTTACTTACATCCCGCAACCGGTTAGCTTAGCCTAGCATAAAGATCCGAAACAGAAGGAAACAGCTAGATAAACGACAAGTTGTAGTTTGGCCTTAAAACCTTAATTTTGTGGCAGATTTTGTTAGCTTTGGACAGATATTGCCCTGTTTCCAGCCTTTATGCTAGGTTAAGATAAACAGTTGCTGGTTTGAGCTTCATATTTAGCATGCATAAATATGAGAGTGGTATCAATCTTCTAATCTATCGCTCAGAAAGAAAGCAAATGAGCATATTTTGCAAAATGTCAAACATTTCATTCAATATCTGAACTTCAGACACTGGCTGTGTGTGTGTGTGTGTGTGTGTGTGTGTCATAGACTGTATATAAAAAGGTGTGTGTGTGGGGGGGGTGCTCTATTTCTGATTGACTGAACATGTTTTATAATGGTACTGTGCCACAGTACCTCGTACTAACGTAAAAGTGCACCTCATTCGTTATCGAAAATAGAAGACAACATCTGCAAAGTGAGCCCAATCCAATGGCCCCTTTTTGGGTAGTTAGTGGTTAATGGGCTTTACCTCTCAGAGAACATTTTTACAGCAGACTGCACGCTAACCTGGCAGTGTAAAGGGGCCTGCTGGCTTTGCATTTAGTTTCATGGCTCATATTATCAGACATACCTTATGCAACCCTCCCATCCCCCACCCTCCATCTCCCTATCTCTGTTTTTTTCTCTTAAAAGCAGCATAGTGTCTGCCTTTATCCCATCATGCAGTTGAAATGCATGAGCACATCATGCACCATAAATGCTTGTAACCACCCATCTTGACTCTTGCGTTGTTCCTCGCATTTAGCTACTTCAAAGCTTTGCTGGCTTCGTCTCAGCTGCAAACCATGTAGAATAAAATCTCTTGCATATAAATAGGTAGTACATGTCAGGTACATGAATGCTATTTGGCTGGTGCATTTGTGTGGTGCACATATGAGCCCATATGTGTTTCTACTTTGAATATAAATGCCCTAACTCTGGCAGTGTTAATTCCATTACAACACAAACACAGTTTATCAGAGAACAATATATCGCTGCATACATGTCCCACATTGAAGCACACTTAGTGCAAACTATGATTGTTGAGTTCAATTTCTCTGCAAGACGCAAAGTAAACCATTTTTTCATGCCTCCCTCGTCTGCCTTTGAACAGGAAGAGCAGTAATTGCTGCGTAAATTGCACAATAACACCTCTCATAAGATTATTAGCATTGCATTAGGAACAAAGCAGACAGGCAGAGATTTGCTCAGGTTGCTTCCAACACGTCCATTCCTCTTTGATGGAGGAAGAAATGGTGCTGAGAGCTTGCATATTTGTTGTTATTTACTTAAAGAAAATGGGGGGGGGGGCATTTTTTTCTGTCAGCTTGTGTTCGATTCAAACTATCGTATTGTGTGTTTTTGCCATTGTTACTAAAGTGGTAAAGTGGTTTGTTACTCCGCAGAAACTCTGGCTTTTTTCTAAGAAGCACATTATTTGTGTGTTTGTGTTTCTGTGTATGAGATGGTGAAGAAATAGGCACAAAATAAGGGGAAAAGGGCCGTGGTGACTGATTGCATTGGAGAAACAGAAATGCAATGAAAATGTGTTTTCAAATATACCCTGATGAATTTTAACATTATATCTGATTGGATTTAGGGTTTAAATCCTTCAAATGCTCTGGTTTTGCTTATGATGAGAATCTCAAAGGCAGACCTTTTACTTGCAAGAGGTGTCTGTTCAACTTGACTGAATAAGAAGATTTGACATCTTATCTACAGCTGACACTTTTTTATATTATCAGTGTGTGTTCCCTCAAATAAATTTAAATGTTTAAATCTAAATATGTATCCCTGTTTCTATAGTAAGGACGCTCATGAATCCTCTTCATGAGTTCCACTTTCATATTTAAAAATGAAAATCTGTTCACCTGCTTGTGCACTTTCTTTACTCCTTTGTCATTTGGTTGTCAGTCCACGAAGCGATTTCGACTTTACCTTTTAGAGGTGGTGCAACTACCCTGAAAATCAACCCTGAGATGGTCAGCATGGTTGAATTCCAGCATTTTGCCAATAACATCATACACTCAGTTCAGTCAGCTCAGTCAGTTCACAAGACATCATAATATCATAATAAAAAGCTGTATCTATGTAAGGTGAACTGAGGTGAACTCCAGGTGGGTTTGTACAGGTACAGATGTTACTGTTTATCCCCCTCAAAGAAACTGATTTTAATGGATTATGTTTATTACACACAACCAGCACATCCTAATGGATGGATCTGTTTGTGGTCCCAGAAGAATTTCACTTCTGAAGCTTATTTTCAAGAGTTTGGTTGCACTCAGGTCTTACAAAATGAGATGGAACTAAAAAACACAGAAAGTCTGTGCAATATGCCTATCAGTAGCAGACTGCTTTATTAAGGCTGTGCTTTTGACCTGGCAGCAGGATGACTTCAGTGTTTTGTGAGCTCACAGGCAGGTACAGGTAGGCAAACAGCAGTATGTTGTCAAAGCTAAGAAGACCTATCCTGCTGCTCTGACCTTTACATTCAGGACCACCAGAAGCATGAAATAAAGATAAATGACACTTGAATTTAACACACTGTTGCTGAGCCCATTCAAGCTGGATACTCCACTTACCACCACCAACCTAAGTACAGGGATCTAGTCTGTTATATCTGTTTGTCTGCTTGTATAAATATAATTGTGATATATATTTATTTTACCATCAAGATATATTTTTTATACTTGAGAACTTGTGTTGATGGGAATGCACTCTCACGTCAGTTTTGACATTTCCAGGTGGCAATATATTGTTGACCTATGGGCTCAGTTGCAGTATGAAAGTATGAAATTTTAAATGTGCACATTGTGATGCTGACCTGAGAGTCGAACAAAAGACTGCAAAACAGCAGTGGATGTTTTGAACCTGTCTTGCCACTTTGACCCTTTTCTTTGGCATTCCTGTCATCATGGAAACCCCTCACCCCGAACAGACATTTCCCATTCTGTCAAAACCCAAGCTATCATATTTATATTCATGCTGTGCTTTAAAGCACGAGTAAGTAATGCTTCTTCCAGGTGTCAACATTTGGCATATTAGCCACTCTATTCTATACTGCATAATTGGCTGTTATAACACAGGAATGTTGCACATTCTCACTAGTTTGATTTTATGACCTTATGACCTATTTGTAACCTCTTTCATATAGCAACTATTCACTTCCACTGACTAAGTAACATATTTATTATCACAATGCACTCATAGTGTTGAGTTACAGCCAGAAGTATAATTGAGAATCATTTCCTATGTCTGTTTACTTCCTCCATTCACTAGCCACCCTCTTCCCACATTACCTTCCAAAATCCATCTGGCATCAATCTTTCTCAAAAACAAGACATCCTTATTTGTTTAAGTCAGAGATAAACTTCAGTCAAATGCAAATCCAGTTATTGTGTTTTTATTTGACATCAGAGCACACAGAGGGATGAGCAGGGACAGACAGACAGTAATGTCTGAGTGGCACTAAATAGATGGAGCCCAGAGTTGTTGGAGGCCAAGACAATCATCTGTCCTAAGGGACAAACTCATTTAATGAATTTTCCGACCCCACCCCGTGTGCACTAATGCCACCCACTAAAGTAGGTACATTTGCCAAATAGTTACTTTTTTAGTGGTAAACATGAAATTCTCTTTTTATGTAACTACAGTGGCCACTGTGTCCTTTGCTTGAATGCCTGTATAAATCTAAAAGACCATCCCTTCCTTCCATTTTTCCTTCTTTCCTACCTCTAGGCTTTGTCGAGCTTGCACCCTGAATGTGAGTTTATATTTCAGTTGGAGAAAGAGGAGCGTAACTGCCTTCAGTACATTGTGGAGCAGGACAACGGAAGCACAGAAGGTGTGTTCTCCATTTTCAAATCACCCTGCAGCAGTAGCTCATATAAATTCAAGAGTGGCTGTACTTGTGATATGAAATACTCTGCACAAATCCACACTAAGTACACGCGTCTAAGCTGGAATAAATGCTCCACAGAGAATCATCAGTTGTCAGGGCAGATTCTTGATGGCCTCCCATCCGTAGAATGAAAATGCACTGCATGATCTATCACCGTGATGCATCTGTAGTGGAGACCATTAAGGATAGTTACATAAGGATTTAGGTATGTAATCTAGTTCAAGATAAAGGTCTTGGTTGGGGATCTACAGTACTTTATCATTCTTGTCTTAATACAATTTACACAGAGGCAGATGTTATGGCTCTGAAGAATGTTGTGCATGATACACCCCATTTAACTCTTCTGTTTCTCCATGAGTATATATTTAACTTTGGGTGGTGGTGTATGAATGTGTGTTTATGGAATCCTCTGAATATCAACCCCAATAGCATCATACTTACCTTTTTTTTCATCTTCTTTCTCCTCCTGAACCTTCTCTGAAAAGGTTGTCGGCCATTCTGGGATGCCGTCGTCTGCTGGCCTCATGCAGTCGTCGGTGAAACAGTCCAAAGAGCTTGTCCTGCAGTCTTCTCCCTCTTTAAAAACAACACAGGTGACTAAAGGATCACATGGTGGCAGATTGTCACAGGAGAAGGCAATCAAATAAATTTGTTCTTAACAAATTAGCAGGTTTGGGAGAGTGAACCCCATTTAAATGTCTTACAAAATGAGCAAATAAGAAGTACCTTGGCATTATGTGGCTGTGAGGATATATAACAGTGTTTCAACAAGACCAAGAGTCTATAGCCACACTACGGTAGAAAAGGGAATTATTATTAATAATTAACCTTTAATTAACCAGGCAGGACACTTAAGAACTACTTCTTATTTACAAGGACAGCCTGGCAAGAGGGGATTAGCCACTTGAGGGGCGGGAAGAATGCATAGAAGATTAGACAAAAACATTAAGTGTTAAAGAACAAACAAGACAAAAACATACAGAAGTAAGAGGTTAAAGAAAGAAGTTAACACTACAAAGGGGGAAAACAATGCAGTGTAGTATAAATATATAAAGATGGTAATGATTCCCATCTTAATGATTTGCTAGCTCTCATTGTTATCTGACAACTCACCAAGGTTGTATGATCGCTGAGGTTGTGAGGGTTACTAATACAACATATTGCTTGGTTGTCAGGCACTTCTGTTTTAATGAGCTCCAAGTCGGATATATTGGAGCTTTCAGATAAGTCCAACTTTCTAAGTCGTAATTATGATTATTCACATGTTGTTAAATTCTGATATGACATGAATGTGGCATGTCAGCATGCTAATATTCTCACTAAGACAATGCTAACATGATGCTGTTTAGCAGGTATAATGTTAATCATGTTTTTGTCATGCTCTTGGGTTCTAGTGTGGTATTTGTCTGTTATTTTTTTAATGTCCATTCCTCTTTTACTGTTTGCCTCTGTGTTCTTGTTTAGGTTTGGTTAGTTGATCATTGGTTCTCTGTTGTATTTGGTTTCACATTTCCTTGTGTATTGTCAGTTAGCTGTTTTATTTTGTAATCATTGGTGTTTGGTGTTCTTATCTAGTTTCCTGTCTGCCTTGATTCCTAATTTGTCACACCTGTGACTAATTGCCCTGCTTGCTTGTGTGTATGTGTGTGTGTGTGTGTGTGTGTGTGTGTGTGTGTGTGTGTGGGTGTGGTGTGCCCCAATATTTATTGCCTTCAGTTGTGTTCAGTCTTTGTTGCGTTGTGGTCACATGTGGAGTATTCTGCCTAGTGCTCTGTTTTCCCTGGATTTCCGGATTGTTCCTTTGTGTTTGGATTACCTGCCTTTGTTGGGCTTACCCTTGGGTTTGGACTTCCTTGCCTTTAATTTGGACAGGTTTAAATAAACCTGCAAAACTTATCCAGCCTTGCTAGTGTCTGCATTTTGGGTCCACGCCGGTTTGTCTACCGTTGCACTCAGCCTTCACGACAGTTTTCCATCTTAGTTTAGTGTGATAGCATGCTAACGTGCTGATTAGCACAAGACACAACATTATTAGTTTTACAGGTTTAGATAAAGGCTAGATGAAAAGGGAAGGGATCCCCAAAGTTATTAAAATTCATCCTCAAAGAAACATGAATGTCTATACCAACTTTCACAGCAACATGTCCTGTAGTTGCAGAGACATTTCATTGAAAATCATAAATGTCAACCTTGGTGGCACGAGCGATAAACCAGAGGTAAAGTCTGATCGCCAAAGTTATTTCACCTGCAGATGGTGCTAGTAGAAATGTCAGTGGATCAGAAAAGAAGAGTTTATCTTCTGGGCACCATGGATATCTGTACTAAATCTCATGAAAATCCATCTATTTGTTTTTGAGATTTCATTCACTACAGTGGTGGACAGAACAGCCAACATTGCGATCCCAAGAGCTACACCACCAGCATGACTATAAACACCAAACATGTCATGTGAATATTTCTTTCTTATGACAAGTTCATGAATCTAATCTGAAGATTCATGGCACTCTTCATGGCTGACCTCTTTGAACTCTTGACTTTTCACCTTAGGTTCTGTGAGCCGTAATTGCACAAGTGGAGGTTGGTCCGGACCTTTACCACCGTACCACATTGCCTGCAGTGTGGATGATGACATTCCCGAGGTGAGAGTTGCATGGGGCAAGGCCGATAAAGAGGTCAGTCTTGGGAGTGGGAAACTCCCGATTAAGAGCACAGAGGTCAGGGTGAAGGAAGAGAATTAGAAACAGGAAGGGAAGCAACAGGAACAAGGAGACACCCAACAGGAAAAGGGAAAATAACCAACAGAAAGGAGAACACACCTGTTTCAACTTCAGAAATCAACAGACCAAACAAGCGAAATTATTAAAGATCGATCTTGTCAAAATGTTACTGCAGTTACTGTCAGACTGTAATGAAGTAAAACGTGTGCCCATAAAACTACTTTTGGGGTATTTGAGATTCAAGTATATATGATTACTGGCTTGCTGCCTCTCAAAAAAATAAAATCTACTCAAACGTAATTGTGCCTCATGTGAAAATACTTTTGCAAGGCAGTAAGTGAATCAGCTGTCACCCATCGGGTAATAGCTGAAATTATCTTGTTTCACAAAAAAGGAATAGTGCTTTATCATACTGAAGAGTGTTTTTTGAGGATAATTATGGGGAAACTACTTTTGGTACTATACAGAGCATCTTTTGTCTTGAGTTAAAAATATATTTTAAGTCTTGCAATAGCAGGGTGTAAAGTCACTAATTACAAGTTGTGATGTTAGTGTAATTAAGTATTGTTTTTTAATGTACTTTTTTGAATCAGTTTGTCTGCTCAATCCAGTCATTCTTAAATCACAGAATAAAGAAAAGGCTTTCTTGCAGTCATATCTTCAGTGTAGTTGAGTCTCAGGATTGTATGCGATTTGGTCTCCTTTTGAGATTACATTCATTCTATGGCTCAATAGCATTTTGAAAAGCTTTGACATTTGAGTATAACGTCCTACAAAGTCTTCTTTCTTGTCTTGCTTTCAGACAGAGCAGTCATACTTTGCCACAGTCAAGCTGATATACACCATTGGCTATAGCATCTCTCTTGTGGTGCTGGCTTTTGCTGTGTTGATCCTGCTACTCTTCAGGTTGGAACATATGTTTTATCCCATTTTTCTTAAGAAACTGATCAAACTTAAAGCTGATCAAACTTAAAGCTAATTAACTTACCACAGAGAGCCAAGCAATAGTAATCACAACAAAATTGTTGTACTGTAAACAAAATAACTATTCCAAGCCACACTTAGTCCTGGATATATTAAAAAACCTGTAATATTGGTTAACTCTCAACAGTTTTGGGCCTATGCTGTGTTTAAAATGTTATAGTACTCACACTGTAGACATGACATGTCATTAAAAATTATGTCCTAGTGTAGTATTAAATGAATGGTTCAGTATTTTGGGAAATACACTTTCTTTGTTGTCAAGAGTTAGAGAAGATTGATACCACTTGTGTTTGTACGCTGAATATGAAGCATGAGCTAGCAAGCCTGGCTCTGTCTAAAGTTGCAATAGTCCACCAGCCATCATCTTTAAAATCTTCTAATAAAAGAGTTAGGCTATATCTCGTCTGTTTAATCTGTACACACAAACAGAAATGTAAAATGGTAGGTTGTGGTTTTAATGTAAGTTCTTGGCCATAAGCTAGCAAGCTAATCTTGCTGGCTCTCGCGTCATATTTAGTGTACAGATATAAAAGAGGTATCCATCTTCTCATCTGACTCTTGCCAACAACGCAAATAAACGTATTTCCCAAAATGATGAAAGGAAGAGGAATGATGCTGTTGAATGAAGTCATTTTAGAGCCACTGGCCATGAAACCCAAAACAAAACAACAAACAAATTTGCCATGAAAACAGTTGCCATGGTGTTATGATGCAAAATAAATTAACATAATTTCCCTTCTCATAGTCCCTTATGAGAGGGTCATACCTCTCACTTACAATATTTTCTTTCTTGCATTTAAAACCCCTTTGGCATGGAGTAGACCTAACAGGTCCTCTAGTCCACTTAGCAGCTGATTGACACAATGTCAAGGGGTTCCTCACACCTGCCCACCCAGCTCTTTGGTTCACTGAAATAAGAGAATCAGAGCAAGTAGAAACACAACCACTATATTAATATTTTCTTTTTTCCTTGGTGCATATGGTGTGCGGTTTTATACATGTAGTGTATTTGTCATGAAATAACTTTGAAATGATACCACCGCACCATAACTTCCATATATATCTTTATTCCATTTTATTGTTGTTGTTCCTCATATGCTGTACATGTTGGTGGTTTTAATGTCTTGCTATCTTGTTTTTGTTCTTTTTTTGTACTTTTTTGGCTAAACTGGCATCAAACTGTATCATCTGCAAGTCAAAAACCATGGAAACCAAGGCATTATAGCTAATAGTAGTAACAATGTAGTAACAGTGTGTTTTAAAGCAGAATTTATTTTGACTATCTGGCCGACTTGCACTCATATCAAACCACACTTGATTTTATTTTATTTTTTCAACAGGAGGCTGCGTTGTGCCAGGAACTTCATTCACATCCAGCTCTTCATTACGTTTATCCTGAAAGCTGTGGCAGTGTTCATAAAGGATGCTACACTCTTTTCAAGTGATGATACCAACCACTGCACCCTTTCCACAGTAAGATATGACGTTGAGTTCAAGAGGTTCTTGGTTGTATTATACTTACTCCTATGGACAGATTTTTCCAGTTCTCATACACCTCTCTCATAATAATTTACTGTATATCCTTGTTTTCCTTCCTGTTTTTTTTCCTGTCCAGTTTTCCTGTAAGTCCTCTGTGGTCTTCTGTCACTACTGTGTAATGGCCAATTTTTTCTGGCTCCTGGTGGAGGCGCTCTACCTCAATTCTCTGCTGCTTTCTTCATTCTGTCACAGTCGTCGATGTCTCTGGGTCTTCAGCCTGTTGGGATGGGGTGAGAAACCTTGACATGCAGTTTCCCTTACATTCGTTATGTTAAGCTGCAGAGTTTGGTTCCAATATGAGATATTCCACATTTGAAATACAGTATCCTATGTGATACTTGCTTTCACAAATATACTGAAAAATAAAGAATGGTACTTAGTAGGTGATAAAGGATTACAAAACATTTATATTTTACAGATACTTGATACTTTTATTCTCTGTTTTAAAGGTTCAGTGTGCAATATTTAAGAGAATCTATTGACAGAAATGCAATATAATAAACATAACTATGGGTTTAGTGGTGTATAAAGACCTTGTATAATGAACCCTTTTGTTTATTACCTTAGAATTAGCCATTTCTATCTTTTAATATGTGCAAAATCACATTGCATAAATATTTTGCAAATATGTAATTTATAATATGGTTAACGGTTAGTTTGCTGTCCATCTGTGTGTTTATACACTCTAATAATGCCAATCGAAAAAATCTTTGTAATAGTAACCACATGCCACAGTTATCAGGTTTGCGAGTGCACTCAAGTCCGCATGAGTTTGTGGGGGGCCAAGGCACCGTTGTTTATGCAGCCTGTACATTATGTACAGAATGAGTCTCTGCTGTTTTGATCTTAGAAAATAGGCCTAGATGTGTTTGTTTTTATTTTTTAAACTCTTTTTCATTTGATGGCTCAGACTGTTGTTCTTCTTGGAGTGCACAAATACTTTCACTGTGCTATTTGCAGTTTTCAGTCCATTTAACTTGCATGCTGTTTTGGAAACTATGTCTCTGGCAATCATCCCTCTGTATTATAAAAGTCTTATCAGCTGCTTGTGCAGTTAGATTTTTATTGCAGTTCTGTGTTTTATATGAGACTCATGGCTGCTCTTTAGGGACAACAAGAAGCAGACAAACTACCATCGGCCAACATCCCCAATTTATTATTTTAATACATCCAGAAACGCTCCAGGCTCCGTGGCATCAGCTGTAATTACCAAACAAACTGAATTAAAGTTTACACCCCTGTGGCAGTCACTTCTAATGTATTAGATTATGTTTGTGGGCTGAATGTGTCTTCAAAAGATGTTCAAGTTGATTTCTTAAGAACTCATGTATGATTAAATGTAATGGGTCACTGGCACTTAACTTGCTAAATACGATGAATATAAAGGCATTTGTCCTCATAAGGCAATAACGTGATGCACATAATTTAAATGTGTAGTGCATAAAGCATTTTAAATGATTAAATTTACTTTGAGTTCTTGCTGATTGGATCACTGCAAATATTAGAAAAGGTAACATTTAGCCAACGTGTTCACACATTAACATCTACACTGACGGACACTGACTGTCTAAGTCGCTTATTAAACCAACTCAGTGTGTATTGATTGTGTATCACTGTTATAGCCTAAGTTTTGGTTTTCTGCCTTTCCACAGGTGTACCTGTCCTCTTCATTGCCCTGTGGATTGGATCCAGGGTGTACTTTGAGGACACAGAGTTTGTTTAAACTTTACTTCCATCTCCACAAGCATATTATTTAATAGGCTGTATGCATGTAAAGCAAACTGCAACAGACTTAATGACCAACATTGTAATCAGAAATACACTAATGGTGGCAGCACAGGGAAGTACTTTTCTCATTTTCCTAAAGTGGTTTTCTGATATACAGCATGTTTTTTATGAAGAAATACACCCTTTGGAGGGAAGGTGGGAGACATTCTCTTTATACTCTTCACTGTGCATTGCTTGTTATGAGTTTATTTTAATTCTATGGTCAGTTGAACTCATTGTACATCACACCTTAAATGAACTTCTGCAGACTAACTAAAGTGCACATTTCAAAATGTCTTCCTATGTAGATGTTGGGACATCAATGAGGACTCGCCCTATTGGTGGATCATCAAGGGACCAATTGTTGTATCCATAGCGGTAAATGCTCCCATTGTGCTGAAACAAACAAAATGATTGACTTTTATTTATGCACTGCGCGAATAACAGATTGTGCAGATGATTTGTTTACTTTCTTTTTAGAGGTGGTTTCTGGCCATTAAATTTCTTTTGTGCACATTAGAATAGAGTGCCAAAAACTGGCCTCACAGCAGTCATGACTAATTACACACTCGGCTGCTCATATTATTGCCATGACATTCAACAAGTAGACAGTACATATCAAGGCTTTATCCCCAGTAAAGCAGAACATTTTAATTCTTAATTTGACATTCTTGCTGTCAACAGGTTAACTTTATGCTCTTCATGAACATCATCAGAATCCTGATACAGAAGCTCAATCCCCGGCTGATCCAGTTCAATAACTCCTCTCAGTACAGGTAATCCTTTAGCTGCAGTTCATCACAGTTATCAGTCACGGTTGTACACACAGTATGAGTGGCTGAACGCAGTGATACAACATCTCTGATTTTAGTCATCACTGCATTTTGAATACAGGAAGACCTTGAGAAGAATTCAATTTTAAACAGAAATTAGCATTTGTAGGCATTTTTAGGTTGGCGATTTGCTTTCATCAAATTTAGCTTTCATCTTTTTCTCACAGTCTTTGATTTTCAAAGTTGTGTCTGTCAGTCTGATGGACACATTAAAAAATACTTTGTCACTCTCTTTTATACTTTTTCACACTGATAAACAGACTCTTTGATGTTTGATGTTCAGTCACTACTAGTCAGTCTGGCCACGTCTACCTTTCCACTTCCCAAGAGGCTTTTCAGAATTTCTAAATGAAATTGGCTCACTAATTGGCTGAAAGTGTTCATGGACATCGTGCATATGCAGATCTTATAAAGACACACCAAAGGTAAGTTAAGTGATGCTTGACTTAATTGCACCAGCTAGATTAATATGATCCCACATACATAAAAAATCGTTATCCCTGCACTCACATTTTAATATCCTCAGTTTGAATCATGCACCTGCTACTACCTTTTTCAGTTTTGTACAGACTGACACGCAGACATACAAACACACACACACAATTATCCCCTTGATTGACATCTGATCATTAGCGTTTCTTCATGCATGATGCTATTTGGAGCTACATTCTGATGAGACATGCAATAAATCACTCCCTGAGGTGGCTTTACCTCCCGCATCTTGTTTCTTTCCTTTTGCGCAACAGACGCCTGACTAAGTCCACCCTCCTCCTCATCCCTTTGTTTGGTACTCACTACATGTTCTTCAATTTTCTGCCTGACTACTTCAATGTTAACCTGCGCCTCTGTATCGAGCTCTGCATGGGATCCTTCCAGGTACACATGTATAAACTCTCAATATTCTGACAGCAATGCACGCACACACACTCCAACCCATACCCAGGATGTCATCTCTTTAGAGTACCATATCTAGTAATAAAACCTCATTATTTGTCTGATCAGTGGACATGGGCGTGAGTCCTATCTATCAAAAGTGGATTATTGTTGAGATATAAATCTAAGCCATTCATTATTCCACTCAGATGTGTGAGGAAATCCTAATACATTTTTCTGACCTACTATATATTCTTGTTCTTCAGCCTATCAGTTCTCTCTTTGTGTCTGACATTTAAGCTACGTTCACAAGAGCAACCTTTTTAATGATGCGGATTAGTTGTAAATGCTAATGATTAAAACCATCTTTCTTACAGGGGCTTCTTGTTGCAATTCTCTACTGCTTTCTGAATCAAGAGGTCAGTATAAGCCACAACTCTCTCAAGCATTTATTATAACATGTTCACAGTGTTGGGCAAGCTACTTGGAAAATGTAGTGAGCTAAGCTACTAGCTACTCTACATTAAACTACACAGAAGCTACCCCCCAGTGAAATGTAGCAAGCTAAGCTACAGCAATGTGGCAAAAGTAGCTTAGTTACATCTAAGCTACTTTAAATTTTTAAATATTTTATAGTTAGGTATATATACACACACACACAATCACACACAGTAAGCTATAGGCCTAGTTTATATATCTAACTAACTTAACTCCACAGTAGCAATACAAGAAATACTAAAAACCTGCTCCAAACAGTGTGTGTGTGTGTGTGTGTGTGTGTGTGTGTGTGTGTGCGCGCGATAGAGGGCTAAATCAGACACACAGAAACTCTCCTACTTAGTGCCATATCATTGGCAATGAAACATTATTGTTTGTTTAAAGTAACTTAATTATCACATTATTAATTAATTCTATTTTTTTATTAAGAATTTGTGCTCTGGCAACATTGCAACCTAAATAACCTAAACATTCATGGAATTCGCAAGAAAGAGAGAGAGAGATCTCATCAAGTTTCTGCCACTGCATATCAAAGTTTCCTCCTCACTAGAGTAAGAGCTGTCCAGGCTGGACCCTGATCCTTCGCACAAGAGGTGTGACAATAACTATGACAATAAAAAGTGAACTCAATCGCGCGTCTTTATTCCCCTGCAGCAAAGTCGCAGACATCAGCCCAAGGATCGGTACGTAACACCTGCTACACATACAGGTCCGTGTGTGGCGTTATAGGCCTACTCACTGATCCTTCAGAAATGCTTGGGAAAATGTAGCGTGTGTGGAAGCTACCACGCTACTCTGTCAATAAAAGAGCTTCGTTACTGAAAAGCTATTTGATTCAGAAAATAGCGACGCTACCACCAAAGTACTGAGGCATTTTGTTAAACTAGTAAAGGCCTTTTCACACAGGAAGCGATTTACACGCCTCGTAATTCATTTTCAATGAGAGGCGAGCGTGTAGGACGGGAGACGCGGGCATTGCGACAGGCGTAGCGACATATGGCGAGCGGGCGTTTTCTCAGACTTTTAATTAGTCAGGTTGCTGGAACTTCATTAGCAGAACGTCTGAGGGAAAATATGCGCATGCCAGCAAGCTTGTTAGCTAGAAATGTGAACATATGTGAGCTTATAACCTCAGAATTTTACCTCAGACTTTCTGATAGTGAAGCTGCTAGTTGACTAAAGGGTCTATCCAGCGTCTAAATAACATCTATTTTACAAACGATCAGCCTTAAAGGGCCACGGCGACTGGGGGGGCGTCTCACCCCACTGGCATTTTACCCCAAACATACTAATCTAGCATTTTCTACTTTAACCAAAAACTATAAAAATCTTTAACTCTAAACAATTGCATAACTTATCTTAAGACTCCCTTAATGTAAATATACATACATACACACACACACACACACACACACACACACACACATATATACATATACATATATAAATTGAACACACAAAAAAAATATACAGCTTATTTTTAAATTAGATCAAATTAGGTCAGAATGGCTTTTATCAAATCATTTATTAAAATTGTGATGAAACAGGAAATTTTTAGTTCAGTGAGACTAGGGGCAGCCACAAGAAATGTTGAGGAAAAAAATTTGTGACATTTCATGTTTTTGTTACAATTACCTTGGGGGGGCATCTTACCCCATGTTACCCTACTATCAACACTGCATGTTCAACAAGTCACACAAATAAAGCTCTCTGTTGCATCATAAACCTGTGTACCAAGAGCACATCCCAGTGACAGGTGAGCGGTTTTGAGTTGTCAGACCCTGAGCACTTATGTAACCACCAAGACTAATGTGAGGCCAACCCCACGCAGTCTGAGGGCAGCACCAGTCTGTGTTTCACTAACGAAGACCATGGCACTATTTGGAATATTTTATTGTATGACATGGATGGGGGAGAGCTGAGATGATGGAGTGGAATGGATTAAGGGTCCGGATGGAGGGAGAACAGTGAGATGTTGAGGGATGTGGGGATGAGAGTCGAGGGTACAGAGATGAAAAGATAAGGGTGATGAGTGAGTGAATGAAAAGACAAGGGATGAAGGGTTGAGGGAAAGAATCATGGTTGTGGGTTGATGTATGGAAGAGAACGAGGGAATGGTGTCTGCCGGTGGCAGGTAGGCAGGAGGTATCCAGGGGAGTCGAGGCTGGGGGTAGGTGAGCTGTCTTCATATTATCTGGAACGTTGTCAGCCGGTGACAGTAAGACAGGAGGAAGTCAGGGAACAATATCTTCATTTGCTCTGCTTCGGAAAGTGTAGAGACAGTAGGAAACAGCCAGTCTGGTTCTGTCTAAAGGTAACATAATCTATCAGCACCTCTGAGCTCACTAATTAAAACAATAGGCCTATATGTTATTTGCTTTTGGATTTATGTACCAGACTCAGCTATAAGCATTTGCCAGGCAGCCAACACAGCCTCCAGGAAGTACCACTTGTAACTAAGAAATAGTCTGGCACATAACATCCAGTAAAACATCAAACATCATCATCATCAACGTCATTCTAACAATTTTTGTTTGAATTAAACAAGATATAACACGATATTTAGAGGTGCTGGTAGGTGGAATTTGTTACATTTGAACAGAGTCAGGTTGGCTGTTTCTCAGAGTCTTTGTGCTAAGCTAACCAGTTGCTGGCCATACCCTTATATTTTATGTATGACACGAGAGTGGAATCAATATTCTTGTCTAACTTTTTACAAGTATCTGCTTTAAGTATTCAGCATTGCGTAACATTTTTTAGCAATAACCAAAAACATAACGTTTTAAACAAATACTTAGAACAGCATCATTGTACTAGTTTGCAAACAGCCAAATATGGTATTTTTTGTATGTGTGTGTTTGACAGGTCCAGAAAGAGGTCCACTTGCAGTGGCTGAGGTGGCAGGAGCGGAGCTATGGTGCGGTGTCACCTGCTGCAAAGGGCAGCCAGATGGACACACCCTTCTAGTGGTGTCCTGTCAAACCTTCACCCTCTTCCTATAAGTCTTCTGCTATCTGAACATTAACACAGAATTTCTTCTGTGCACGTCATCATCTCTAAATGGGTTGCACGGTACGTACAAGTGGTCATGCACCTCTAAAGCCTCAGCCTGTAAAGTTTTCATTCCAAACTTGACGACTGTTTTACTGGCTGCACTACTTCAGCCAGAATGGAGAAACTGAGGTCAACTTTCCAACAGAAAATGATTCTGAAATCTCATCACATTTTACACACAGATTAAAACAGGTCCTGCCAATCTTGTACACATATCCCACAGGACACTGTGACAACAGCTTTAGAAAGATCTGCCTTAAGATTTCCTCTGAGGCCTCACTGGTCAAGTGAGAGAATGATAATTTACTGAGCTGTATGCTCAGCCTAACTATCAAAGAACCATCAATTATCAAGTAATGTGATTTCACCCGATATAGGTTTTATCCAACAAAAGAATATGCTGTCATGTCAAGTGTACATTATAATGTACTCACTATGTATGCAGTCAAGGTTTTGTTATGAAGCTGTAGCTTACTGCACAAATGAATTATCACTCAGCTGACTCACATGGTAAATAAAATGTATTATTATTATTAATGACTCATATTATTCATTGGTTTTAAAATATTAAATGACATAATCTATATAATATCTGAAACTGTGGGAAGCACTGATTGATTTTTCTGACTTGTTCAGCACACAGGGAGGTTAGTACTGTAAGTATGTGTATGTTTTCTTGTGGTTTTTCCGCTTATTAAACTTAATGTTTTTGTATATTTATTTACTTGTTGTTTTATTTATTCATTCACAGTAAGGATCACAGTAAAAATGAAATACATCTGTTGATGCTGATGTTGTGGGGTGCAGCTTCATGAACGAATAACCTAAAGCCTACTCATGCTAAGCAGTGACATTAGCACGTGGGCCTTTTTTTAAGTGAAAATTTGCACACTGTTGAAAACCACTCCACTGTATACTTTAAAAGTTAAAGCCAATGCAGCGTGTTGTGTTCTGTCATGTCATGCGGTCGACTCCATCTGTATTAAAGAAGTCTCAGCATCTCCACTGCCATCTGTGATTCAGCAAAGGACTGGAATACATGAATAGTAACTTTATTATGGTAATAATTAAAAATAATCTTAATATCAATGTATAAAATAGCTGTTAACATGCAGTACTTTCAACTGCATGGTTGAATAAATAACGGTAAAAGTATACAAGATTTCCATAATTACCGTATTTGTAGATCTCTGTGAGAAATGATTTATTGTTTGTATTCTTATGTGTACCTCACCTCGTCATCACATTTCTTTTATATAAATTAAACATTTGCCTTAAACTGAATGTGTAAACTAGTGCCTGTCAGACTGTTATTGTTATTGTTATTTTTCTCTGTTGTTGCATTTGGATGTTTGCTGCTTCTGTGACGTTTGATGTCTTGTGAGAATAGCACAATAAAACAGTTTACTCTGCTTCATTATGGCTCTCTGCAACCTCTTTCACTAAATAAAGATATCATCAGCTAGCAGCTGCAAAATGTTAAATCAGTGATAAAAGCTAAAGTCATGAAAGTCATTGTGGTTACATGCAATACAGGTACAATCTTAATCCAATATGTGCTGATACTGGAATCCTACATCAAGCTACATCTAGCTGTTTGTGGAGTACATGCATGGTTCACATTGTGGTGGAGAGGGGAAACATCAGAATCCATTGGAATATTTCTAATGGTTTCCAATGGGGAAAACAATTTAAACCATCCCATTAGATCCTTCACATTACAGTCTGTATTGACATCATACTTTCCATTGTTTCCATTAGTCACCTGCAAACAAAGGATTTCAAACATTTAAAAAGTCACATCTGCAACCACCAAAGTAATCTCCTGTTCTAGCATATTATAAAAGTATTCTTTACCCTTGGGTTTGGCTTTCTGTAACTTGGGTGGAACGAAGCTTCCACTGCTATTTAGTGTACATCTCTCTGGAAAAGCGTTCCGTAAATGCTAAAATGTAATCCCTGGTGGACACATTTTTTTGGCAAACATCTATTTTTTTCTATTTATTTATTTATTTATAAGGGCAGCACACATTAATGAACATTACTGTAAATGTGCCAGTGTTAGCCTACTGGCTAGGACAGGAATCTGGATCTGGAAACATGAATGGTAACACTAGCACCTTCACAGCTACTGATGATTTGCCCTTGAGCAAGACACTAACATAATCCACTAGAGCTGTGACCAACAGAAGTGAACCAGACTTTATTTAACATGGTTAGTCCCACTGAGGATTGGAAACCTCTTTTGCAAGGGAGACCTGGCCAAGACCACAGCATGAACAGCTGCAGTCACAACCAACAACAGATCAAACAGTAATTAACAAACAGATATTCATACTAAAATAGAGCTAAAAGTAGGATAAGACTAAGTTTAGTAATAAGAACAAAATTAAGAAAGGACTCATTTACTTTACAATAGTTCTGAATTCTGACAGATATAATATCTGTCCATTTAGATTTCTTTTGCAGACTATTACAAGTGGCTGCTGGAGCAGAAAACATAAAGGATTTCTTTCCCATCTCAGTCTATATATCAAGGGCATGCAGTGGATATACAGTATGTCATGTGATCTGAGATAATGATTGCAAGATGTGAATGAAATTTGCAGAGATTTGCACAGAATGGCGTTATAGATAGAAATATACCAATGACTCAGTCAATGTTTTATAGAAGTGTAAAATATTCAATCAGCCCAATTTTGAAACGATCTTATGACTTTAAACTTCCTGAAGGAAAGTTCCACCCAAAGCTAAAAAAAATGTCGCTCCGCAGTTGCTGAAACCCCCAGATGTTTGCACCATCAGGCAGGATGGATGCTAATAGGCAGTTCATTAGAGTTTGTGCAGAAAATGACTATACAATAAGCTCCTCTTTCTCATACTGGAGTGCTCCCCAGCTAAATGGTTGGACTTCTAGGTCCAAAATAACAAATTGCTTACATAAACATATTTCATGCTTTTCTCCACTCACAAAGCCCTCTAATCACAAAGCAAAGGGACAGAAGGTCTGCTTAGTCAGAACTAAAAGGACCCAGAAATCATTAATGTCTAAAGGAGTTGGATTGGTGATTTAACCAAATTTATCAAGGTTTCCTGCAAAGTCACCTGCTGCCATCATGTGGTCTTTGTTGTCTTTAACATCGTTGTGATGTAGTTGTTTAACATCTCTCAAGTTTTTATTTATTTACTTATTTTGGGAGGTTTCTTATGCACTGACTTAATGTCTCTTTGACCTCCCATGCTCCCTGGCTGACCGAGGATTATGGCAAGGTTCAGAGCGGGGGCATCTCGAAGCAGCCTGCGGGCCCGTCTGCTGATCCTCCTCAGCGGTGGTTTGGGATTTGTGGAATGGGAACGCAGAGTTCCTGGACAGGATGTGGAGTCACTGTTGTAGTGCACGGCCTCACACTGACAGAGGAGCTGGCTTGCGGCTGCACGAGTCCGCATCTGGAGAAGATAGGAAGCCCATTTTGGCATCTGGATAACTGGCTGTCTCTGTTTGCCTCCCGGTTTAAGGGCGAGTAGATCTAACCCAGGTAAGTCGGCTAATACGAGTTTGCTTCACTTCTGCCTGTGTATCGCACCGCACCTCTGTGAGTTAGTCCCACCGCAGTCTTTAGGAGGATTTCTGAGTTTCTTCTCGCAAACGTTTTTCATAAACGCTGCTTTTCAGTTATATGGATAAACTTAACACAGAATTCAACGTACTTTATCTAAAACATGTAGCTGTATTGCAGCTGCTCCAGCTGCTGTAAGTTTCTTTTGTTCTGAGCAGACAGCCCTTGGGGTTGATGTTAACTTAATAACAGGGTGCTCTTACCCCTGTGTTGTTTTGCCTGCCCAGACATGCACTGTATGGCTGGTGTGACTGCTGCACACAATTCACAGTCTAATTTCACTGTAAGCTCACATGTAACTTTACATTAATTGCATTAGGCCTACATTCATTTTATGCATTATGGATTTTATCCCTGGTATTTATTGTCATTATTAGTTTGTTCTTTGGCCTGTGTTGGCTCAGTAAACATACCTCCTCCTTTCCACACAGACTCAGGTGATGACTCACCTCTGGATTCTCCTCTCAGCCCTGCTGCTGGTTTTGACTGTGGCCGAACCTCTGAACAGCCTGGAGGAAAATGAGGTCACCAAGAGCCAGGCCAGCGATGCTATTAAAGCGATTCTAGTGTTCAGATGTTAGAGATGTCTGTGTTGGATGAACTCAGTTTGTTGGTCTCTTCTGTTTTAGAATCAGGTGACCGAGAATGCCATCGGGAATCTCAGTGAATCTACACTGAACCACACACCTACCACATGTAAATCTTTCTTTTGCTGCATTTTTTTGACTTGCCTTTCAGTTTCCCCTAAAATTAGCCTCTTTTTCTTTTACATAATAGCAGCTCCCTTGACTACCACAGTTTCCCTGAGCTCCAGTCCTGCTCCTCGGTGTCCAGGTGACCATGGGATACTGGAGAACAGCACAGGCTGTGGCTGTCCATCTGGCATGGTGAAGGATGGTGACAACTGTACCTGCCCCGTGGGCTTTAGTCTGGAGGGAGCTGCAGGGTGCAAAGGTGAGAAGGGCCACAGCCTTTAATGAAGTGGCTGTAACACTGGAACATAAAGAATTCCATACTGCATTCATTGTCAAATAAGTTTAATTGCTCTGCTCCTATTTACAACCAAGTTATTTGTAGAAATGTAAGTAGAAGTAAAAAGGGCCAAGGACAAATTGTTTCCAACATGCTTGTGCTCTACAGTAACACTACCATTTGCACGCAGTGATGTCAGTTAAGATGCAGCATATTATCTTCTCTCTACTTGACAGATGTTGATGAGTGTGAAGGAGAGGGGCCAGGACGATGTGGTCTCCATGCCAGCTGCAGTAATACCCCCGGCTCTTACTTGTGTAGCTGTCTCCGTGGTTACCTGATGGGTGCTGGAGGGTGCCAGGGTTCGTCAGCATCTGTGTGTGTGTGTGTGTGTGTGTGTGTGTGTGTAAGAGAGAGAGAGAGGATGTACTTTATGTGTGTGTGTGAGAGAGAGGATGTACTCTATGTGTGTGAGAGCATGTTGAGTTTCAGAAATGATTATGTGTTCAGCCTATGTGGTATGGCCATAATGCACATTTGGCTTTTGGGGTTTAACAGATTTAGATGAGTGTGCTCTGGCTGCAGTGACGGGCCTGCAGGCCTGTCAGGGTGATGCTGAATGCAGAAACACCCCTGGCTCCTTCACCTGCTCGTGTCCTTTGGGATATGTAATGGCTCTAAATGGACAAAGCTGTGTAGGTGAGGCTGATGTTGGCATCTGGTTTGTATGACTGGAATGTGGATGTACAATGAAAGTGTATGTTCAGAAGCATTTTATCTAGAGTAGTTACACTGAGTTAGCAGTGAGGGGTAAAATGTCTTCCCCGAGGAATACCAGACTACGTACAAACAAATAATTAACAAAATGTAAAAACAGTAATCTAGAAAAACACACTGCAAAATAAACTTTACATATTTGGAGAGGTCTAAAGGGTGATGATAATGGTCGTACCTCTGTAACATTTCCGTACTGCAGTAAAATCCTTACAAAGCTGTCAAATGAAACCTTCGTATTTATAGTGCTTGGTTTCTCTCCTCTGAAGATGTGGATGAGTGCAGCTTTGAGGAGCAGTGTCGCCGTGAGCTGGGAAACGTGTGTGTGAACACTCCTGGAAGCTTTGTGTGCCAGTGCCAGCCAGGCTTCAGAGCAGAGGCCCTCGCCTGTGTTGGTATGTCTGTTATTAAGCTTCACCACAGCTGGATAAGACTGATTTTATCGGGTGTTGTGAGTTTGTCATATTTCGCTTGAGTTGCCCCCAGACTTAATAAGTCCTGCTGATAGGGAGGAAGCCTTTCCCTTTCAGGAATAGAGTGTATTAATCTGCTGCTTTGCTGCTTGCCTGCTTTGTTACTTTTGTTTCCCCTCTTTAAGCTTTTCTTTAATGAATATTTCCTCTCATGTCCTCTAAAATAATCCCAGTACTCTATTTTTTTTTTTTTTTTTACATCTCCTTTCTGTTTTCTCTGTGGCTTTTCTGCACTTCTGGTCTCAGGTCCTGTGTGTCCAGACTACACCGTATGTCAAGGTATGATGTGCTGTCCATGCTTAACACATGCTGTTTGCTTTTTAAGCGTTTGAAATATCAAGAAGACAACCAAATCGGAAAAGGTCATTATTTTTTTACTCATATTTTAATTAGTTCCGCAATTTCCCATCTTTAATAATTGAAATTGAAGACCTGGGAAGTATTGTCTTCAATTGTCTTCAATTAATAGAACAGCTTCCCATAGTTTTGCAGGGATGACATTTTAATGACTTATGCCTAACAAAGACTTGATTAGGGTTTGGTGATATGAAAATGATTTAGTAACTCTGTTGCTTGCACTCAAATTAGAGGGGTGGATTGCACAGACAACAGTTGAGTTTTTTTTTTTATCAACAAGCAAATTATGTCAGAGCAATAATTGAATGAAAAAAATCATATATGACTGTAGCATTCTCTCTCTGTCTCTCATCTTTGTCCCAGATGTGGATGAATGTGCGGAGAGTCCTGCGGTGTGTGATGGTCAGGGTGTGTGTGAGAACACGCTTGGGAGCTACAAGTGTATTTGTCGACCAGGTTACCGGGGAAACGGCACACACTGCGAAGGTAAGCAATTAGTGCTGACGTCCCTCCATGGAAAACTCTGCTTCCTGCAGATGGGGTCAGCTTCCCTGTGTGCGCGTGTTTTAATGCTCGCTGTTATGCCTTCCATTAAAATCATCCCGAGTGGCAGAGTAATGTTTATTGAATGAAAATGAACTGAGTTTTGGATCTGTTTTTTTTTTTTAATCTGTGTGCTCTATCTTTCCAGATGAGAATGAGTGTGCTTCAGGTGGTCACGGGTGTGACACCAACGCTCGTTGTGGCAACATCATTGGCTCTTATTTCTGCCAGTGCTACCAGGGCTTCAATGGAGATGGACACTCTTGTTTTGGTGGGTAAGCAGTTTCTGTGTTGTCCAAATGTGCGTGCCACTAGTGGTGCTCAGTCTGCCAGTGAAACTTGTGTCTTGCCAACAATACTTGCGTGTGCTCACCAGACATCAGTCCCTCATTGTCCTTGTTTACAGACATTGATGAGTGTGCTGTGAACAAAGGCCACTGTGAACACAACTGCTCCAATGAACTGGGAGGGTACAGCTGCCAGTGTGCCTCAGGCTATCAGCTGGACAAAGATGGACACAACTGCACAGGTGAAACACAGCTTGTGATAATCCCTTTACAGCAACTGCAAACATGAGTTAATCCTGGGTCATTGCTTCACACTTTAACAACTAAGTAATTAAAAACACTATAGCATGTTTCTGTGATCGGCTTGTTAGCTTTATTGCCGCAAGTGAATATCGATACCACTCTCGCTAAATATGAAGCTAGAGCCAGGAGAGAGTTAGTTTACCTTATCTTAGGTTAGGAGAAAATCTCAAATCAGGGGGAAATAGTTAGCCTGGCTCTGTTCAATGGTAAAAACTGGGGCACTCTGGTAGCTCACCTGGTACCATTAAAGCTGAGTCCTTACCGCAGTGGATCTGGATTGATTCCAACTACGACCCTTTCCTGCATGTCATCTCCCTCTCTCCCGCCTTTCCTGTCTCTCTGCAGCTCACACTGTCCAATATCAGCAAATAATGCCTAAAAAAGAATCTAATATAAGACAGGCATTTATAAATTCTACACACAGTTGCTTTAATTGTGTAAGTGAGTATGTACCCAGTAAATATTGTTATGAAAAATGCACTGTAATGATGCATAAAGCTTTATCTATAAATGAATTGATGATTACTAAAGTATCATCCGCAACAAGAACTTACTGTACTAATGGAGATTAGCTAAAGCATGGATAGAGTACTAAAGTGTGATTCCACCCAACTGGACAACATGAAGTCACATTGAAATTACTTTTGATGCCTGTGAAAAAAATTTAAAGACTGTGTTTCCACAATCTCCAATTTGCACCATGTTAGAAGCAGTGTTCCAAGGCATCCTAGTCAATAGAGGGCATAAAAGAGATTGTCTCTTCCTGGACCAGTATATCTTTCTCAAAAGCCAATGCCAGTTTAGGTCAATTGATCCAAACAAGTTGCCTCTAATTAACGTGTCCTCTGTTGCAAACCCCACTTACCACCCAAGCTTGTTGAAACAAGTGCTAAGATGTATCGCAAATAGTGTTTGACTAAAGTCTGAATGAGCCCTAACATGGAGCTGTGTTACAAAAGAGTTAAATAAATGTCTCTGATTCCCCAGATGTGGATGAGTGTTTGGCACTGAATGGGACCTGTGAGCACATTTGCGTGAACACTCAGGGATCTTTCCGGTGCTCCTGCAGGCCCGGCTACCAGCTGCACATTGATGTCCACACCTGTGTTGGTCAGTCACTTACCAACACTCTTTCCCTACTCACTGCTGTTTACCTCCTAATTCCAGTCATTTAAACAGGCTGATTTACCAGCATGTGGCAGAGACAAAAAAAAGCCATGAATATGTTATCTCACTTTCTCACTGTATGTGTGTTTGTTTGTGTGCATGCATTTTTTCTACCCTGACATATGGGGATGACCTAAGGGCACATTTTGGAGGATTAATGAAATGAGAAAGCCAGACTCAGTTAAGAATCTGTTACACAGCGGGGATGAGGATATCCAAAAAAGATGTTTACCTTCTGTGTGTTTGTGTGTGTGCATATGTGTGTTTGCCCAGACATTGATGAATGTAAACTCCAGAATGGTGGCTGCTCTCACACCTGCAGCAACTCTCCAGGAGGACACACTTGCCACTGCCCTCCTCCTCTGCTGCTCGACACAGACAACCTCAGCTGCAGCAGTATGTTTCTCATTACAGTGTTAATGACATGACATTATTTGAAAATGTATATTTTTGCATGATTTTTTTAACCAACGAATCATGTAAGAATTGCAACTATTTAATATATAAAAACTTCACAAATAGCAAGAAAAATTGTTTTCCCATGGTCCTATACTGTAGCCCAGATATCACAGTTTTTAAAAATGGTCCACATACAGCACTCTTTTACCACAGAATAGACATTCTAACAATCTTTTATACTTTAGGATGTGCATGACTGTCCCTGCTTATACCTTCTATATCTTAATATTAAATAACTGAGATTGTTTTTAAGAGGAATATTGTTTGTTTGATGATTTTTATGTCAGTGTTAAAGCTTAATTTGACAACACAATGATTGTTTTTATTATCTGCAGATTAACTCTTCACTAATCGTTTTTGTTTATGTCATACAATATAATAAAATAAAATAAAATAAAGAAAAATACCCATCATGATTTCCCAAAGTCCATTGTGACATTCATCAAATGTCTTGTGCTGTCCAAAACATTTAAAATATTCATGTTTGCTGTCAAATAAGACAATAGCAGCAAGTTTTCCAATGTAAAAGCTGGAAAGAGGGATTTAGGGGTATTTCTACTCAGAAATATTTTCAGCTCTGCCCAAAAAATTGTGTTAATGTGTAAATATTCAATGTTAAAATCATTTCTTTTGAACAGATGTTACATCTTGCAAGCTGAGAAATGGTGGGTGCGATCACATATGTACTGTGAGGGCTGAGGGCCAGGTCCAGTGTAGCTGTCGAGCAGGCTGGAAGTTGGACAAGGACCTGAGGAGCTGCGTGGGTAAGACGTTTTTACATTTACATTCCTCACACTGCCACAACCTTCGATGATGCATCGCTCTGTTCTGATGCCACTGAGGACTCTGATTGTAGATATTTAGCTTTGCTATGTTTTGACCCAGAAATTAAGCTGTTTATTTATACGTTCCAGTATATTTTTAAAGAGATTTTGGGAACAGCTAATGTATTATAACATATTATGTTGAACAAAAAAAACTCAAGTGAATTCCTTCAGACTTCTATCCGTTGAAACAACCAAAGATTCCCCAGAATGAATTTGTAAAGATTTATTGCTGTAGTCTTTCTAATATAAACAGTAAACAGCTAGAAAGGTTTAAATGGCTGCAATCAACTTCATCCATTTTGCACCAGGCTGAAGGTGAAATCACATTTGCTGGGGAAAAGGAAGTGCGGAAATTCGATTGCCTGATGACTCTGAACGGTTCAGCTGTGGCCAAATGTTGTTGGATGAGAAGGTTGTTGCCTGTGCTCAGCCAAGTTTCCCTGGTCACTCAGTCCAAGAGGAAATATACAAACTGTCTTTTAGATTGTTTTGAAATGTCCACCCATTTAACGGCCCCATTCGCTTTTGTCATAAGATGTGAATGAGTGCGGGGACTTCACAAACGGAGGCTGTGAGCAGCTCTGCGTGAACCATCCTGGTGGGTTTAAGTGCACCTGTGGGGAAGGTTATAAAGTACGAACCGATGACCTCACCAAGTGCCAGCGTGAGTCAAACATCCATCTAAAATATTGATGATGCTTGCAGACAACACTATTAGCAAAAGCAACTGCTTTATTCTGCCTTTTGTTAAGGGTCAAACAATTTAATTATGTGAAATTCTCTTCCTTTCCAGCTGTGTGTGATCCTCCTTGTCAGAACTATGGACTATGTGTGGCCCCAAACAGCTGTGACTGCCCTCCAGGCTATCCTGGACTAGGCTGCTCAGGTACAAACCTGTTGTATATGGATAACATGTACCAAGTTGTTAATATCACGTGTTATTTGGCATTTAGTGTATACTTTAACAACTGAATCAAACCAATTCAAACAACTCTGGCAGCATTAGTCTCAAAGCTGTACATTAATACTGCTATGATGTGCCTTCATCACAGGATTGAGGGTATAAAATGTCATTTGTGCCTACAGATAAAAAGAGATACAACATACTACTAGTTTTGAAACTCTATTTTAACCATTATGTGATCATGTGCCGGAAGATGGTTGGGAGACACCATATGTCTTACGTTTCAGTTGGCCATCCTGCAGTCAATCTTTTTGAAGATTGTGTTAGTGCTAGTGTTCTGCAGACACACTATTTGGTGGCAAAAGATTAAGGAAAGCCCTGCAGAAGTTCTCTTTAAAGCCTGCAGAGTTATCATATCTCCCAGGGACTGAGACATGTCCTTCTTTCAAGATTGTGATTATACTGTATTTGGTTATAAGGGGGAGCTGATTTGGAGTCAGTGCAATGGTGCCAACTCAAAAACTAACATTGCTGCCAGAAATGGATGTAATGAAACCCATGTTGGTTACGTATTTCAGCCATGTGCTCCCCGCCCTGTGCTCACGGAGGTAGCTGTATGCGCTGGAACAAGTGTCTGTGTCCTCCTGGCTGGACCGGAGCGGGCTGTCACACAGGTACATCATCTCTGCACTGTACAGACAGTGTAGTCAAACACAATGGGATAGGTGTCATATTGAGTAAACAAAGCAGATTTGGTAAAACTCTAGGGTATGCGATTGCACATGCCCATTCAGGACTAAGGATAAAAATGTGATATCAACTCATACAGTGTTTGCTAAGGTGCTTTGTGCTTTACATTGCTCTTATGTTATTCATTTTCACCTTTTTGTACTGTCTTCATAATGTGCCAGTCTCGTAGTGTTTTTACAACAAAACTTGTTCAAAAACAACAAACTTACACAGTTTAGTTCCAATGTAGTTAAATTTCCTTTTATCTTTTACCATTTTCTATTGATCCTGCTTTGACTTTTCTTTATGTCTCTTTCCCTGTGTCTCTCTCAGCGGTGTGTGAGTTGCCCTGTGCTAACGGTGGTCGCTGTGTAGGGCCTGATACCTGCCAGTGCCCCTCTGACTACACAGGTCCCCAATGCCTCTTGCGTGAGTAATAAAACCACCGCCACATCTGGCATAGGTTACAGCAGGCATGCAGGTACTTCTGGGGGGGGGGGGGGTCATTTCTACCTTCCTGCCTCCATGCTTGTTGGCAGGAAGATAAAATGTTAGCTGTACCATAATAGAAAAACAAAAAGGCAACTAATCTAAAAACCATGATGTTTAGATAACCCATGTTACACCATTTCCCTACATAGACTTACCTCTATTTCCCTCTGTGTGTACTTTTGTAGCCCTGTGCACTCCTGCCTGTCAACACGGGGGAAGATGTGCGGATGTCAACAAATGCACATGTGTTGGTGGATGGCAAGGGGCTCGTTGCCAGATAGGTGACATTACACTCGCTGTATCTGTATCCATTGTTCTATAACTGAAACAGTTAGTATGCATTTTACATACAGGACAGGCCTAACCCATGTTTCAGTATGTTAAAACATGTCAAAGAATATAATTATCAATAACAAATATCAAAGTAAAAGTCATAAGAATTGTTCCCTGTTTGTGCTGATTTATGCAAAACAGAAAACATAATGAATGAATAAGACCACATGGCTTGTATGTTCTCTGCTTCCAGCTCCGTTCACATAGTGAGTTTAATTTTTTTCCATCAGAACGGATGTTTTACAGGCATTTTGAAGAAGTCATCTTTGGCTCTAAGAACTTGTGATGGAAATTTTATAGAACAAGCAATTAATCAACAAAGTATTTGGCAGACTAATCGATAATGAAAATAATCGTCAGCTTATTTTAAACGGGTGCACGCCAAAAAGGTTAGGAAATACTGCCAAATGGTATGCAGTTCTTCAGGCAGCCAGTCAGTGGAGCTGCGCACAGATTCTAGAGCTGCACCAGAATTGTATGTATGTGGATTTCTCAGAGGGCGGCTGGATTTACAGTCTATATAATATGAGTCAAACACCACAGCTTATAGTCATTAATTCAAATGAAATTGTAAGCCTTATTATGGGGACCTGGAATAGTCTATAACCAAACAGAATTGCTTCCCTCCCTAAGGTCATGTTACTTTCAAAACAGAGTCCAGTGTGTAGTCCAGCTGGTCTTACTACTACTTACTATTAACTATTGAGTCATACTGATGTCCCAATTCAAATATGATCCAAACAATGTTCCCTACTAAAATAACAGTAATAGATACGCTGTAAATATCTACCATACACTTTATTGTATGATGGCTTTTAATGGTGAGTGAGAAGACTAGAGATCAGCTGTATTGAGTCATTTTGCTGGTGAGTCCATTCCGGTTTTCTCTTTTCTTTCTCCCTCAGAGCCTGTTCAGTGTTACATACCTTGCAAGAGTGGTGGAGTGTGTGTGGGCCTCAACAGGTGCCGCTGTGCCAAAGGATTTACTGGAAGTCTTTGTGAAACGGGTTAGTGTATGTGTGTGTGTATGTGTGAGAGAGAAAGACCTTTCTTTGCCTTCACTTTGCATTAAGACTCTTGCAATGTATGATGTGCCTGCAGCGGTCACCACCCCCTGTGTACCGCCCTGCCAACACGGGGCTGCCTGCGGTCCTCACAACACCTGTATCTGTCCAGAGGGCACTGCAGGCCTGCGCTGTGAGAGACTGTAAGTGTGAACATTATCACCAACAAGAACAGAGTTACAAATACTGCTCATTTCTGGTCTGCTTCAGTTGTAGTCTACAACTTTCATCATGCTTTGTACTGTATGTGATTAGGCAATTGCAGCAACATCAATAAATACCTCACGCATGTTACAGGGCCTGAATTTTCCTGATGGGCACTGAAGTGAAAAAGTTCAGCTAGTCTCAGCATTTATGCTGCTCTGCATTGTGTTTACTATTTCGCTACACTCATCAAGCCTTCTCATCTGAAAACAGATGAAGCTTGCTAACATAAATTGGAGCACACTGTTTTCCACATGGTCTGTCTCGGTAGCTTTCAGATTGACACCATCTAATAGTTACTGTTAAAGCCATTTGAAGAGCTGAGAGCACACTAGTTTTTGACCATGCTTAATTTTGCTGGTCACTGTTTTTTTGCTGATCATTTTTCTTTTCTCTGTCTAGAAGAAAGCTTCAGTTAACATTTTGGAAACATAGAACGTGGACTGCAGAGTTTTTTATTGAAGCATGTGTCAATGTTTTGAAGAAATAGACGTAGCCACAATTACAGTTATAGCAGTTAAAGATTAGAAAAAAACAGACAAAGGAGTATATTAATACTCTCTTGTTAAAGTAAAATCAGTCTGGAACAATATGGTATCCAGGTCATCATACTCTATACCAGGCTGCTGGGCAGGACAGGTTGAAAAAAAAAAAGAAAAAAAGAAAAAAAGAAAAACGTTTCTGTTCCAAAATAGTAGTGTGGGACAACAAGGACTCTAAGATAGAATAAATAGCAATCATCAATTTTTTCAACCTGCGGCTGCATAGTTGTCATGTGATTACAATTATTATTAATTCCTATGCTTATGGACATGTGTTTGTGTGTGTCCTAGGACGTGCCCTGTGGTCACCACGGTGGTCAGTATGGCTCGAGCCGTAAGGAAGGCATTCAGGGAGAGTTATGTGGACCGTTGTGGAGCCCTGGGAGTTCAACTTTGCACTAAATACAGGTTAACTGTTTACTTACGACATCCTCTGGTTCTGGATTACCATAAAACTTAATTAATAGCCGAGTCACAAATAGCCGCCTACCTCCTTTATTGGCCTGGTGTGGGAACACATTTTGACAAATAAATGCCTGCCTCTATTAAATGCCTGGTCTGATTTTTATAGAAGTTCTTTGGATGTATTAAACCTGTTAAACCCCATGGGGTCGCCCGCTTTAGCTGGTTCTAAGCTGCTTAGATCGTGAACACAAATATTAATGTTTAAACGTATGATCAATGTGTCAGTATGGACATGCTACACATCGTTAGATCGGTTAGATTCTCCACAATTCAGTTGTTCAGTTCATTTAAAGCAAACAAGCCCGAAAGTCTAATTCTTAACTTGCATGGTAAGAGAGAAAAGGAAAGAAATTGCTGAATGCTGTTACCTTTGAAGCCTTGTTAAGTCCGAATGTGTCCATTACTTGATTATTTATCTTCCTTTAGTCTGTAAGTGTCCACCGATCAAAAGAATCAAAACAGCTTTTCAGAAAAATTAATCCAAGTTATGAATCCTGTCATGGAAGGCCTGTCCCATATGGATGGGAGGATGGGTAGAGTATGTGCTTAATTAAATTGATACTTAAATAGATTAAACAATAGTTTTTCAAGGTCATGATAAAACACTATGGCAGAGGCAAATGTGAGGTGTGTGATACAGTAGCATTTGTGAACCATCAATTTAACATATGTATATAATACAAAATGTTAAAGCTGTGTCTGCGTTGTGGTTGTGTTTCCAGGATGAACCAGGCACGTGTGTACCTGCAGGCCTACAGGGTGGGCTACAAAATCCAGTGTCCAGAGAAGAAGGGCAGATGAGTTCCTTTTACGAAGCAACACATAGGAACTGTAATGTGACGAGCTATAAACCTCAAAATTTAATGTAACTCAGTGAGTGTTGTGGCTTCTCCGAGGGCAGTTTCACCCTTAAATCAAGCCTCTCTGTTGAAATAGATATAAAGGGGACATGACTGTATTATAAAGGCTGTTTATTTGATCAGTGATGTATGTTGACAATTATCTTTAAATCAGTTTGTTTTATATACAATCATATTTTACATTCCACAAGAAATATTCCTCAGCATATGAAATGTACAATGGTTTCATTATTTTTCATGTTTGCATGTGGCAGCTAAAGTTTATTAAATGTTACATTTTTTTTGTCTTGGTGTCAATATTTTACAGTCTGAACTCTTGTCAATGATTGTGTAATAATAATAACTGCCAGTGTAAGGTCCTTCTCAAAAAGTTCACTTCAACAATTATTCCCAATAAAAATAAACTGTCACATAAACAAACTTACAAGTTTAATATCTTAAGATGTTAAACTAGTACAACTGGGTGAATAACAGGACCATCTCTAACAAAGCTAATTACAATATCTGCACTCTTATCCAGCACACAGAGGTTCATGAGCTTCTTCATATCACATACGTGAGATAATTTGAATCAGAAGCGTGAGATGTTTGCAAACATACGAACATGTTTTTATTCACAATTAAATGACTGTAAAAAGGGGCAGACCACATCTACATACAGCCCATCCCTCCAGGTCTCTGAATACAGTTAGCCAACATTTATTTATTTTTTTCTACCTTTTTCGTCAATACTACTAAGCTCCATTAGTTTTTTTTGATAAACGATTAAAAAAAAGCTGCAGTGACAAAACCACAAAGATCATCTTACTCTCCAATTCTACAGTACGCAGTGTTTTAGCTTAATTATATATATATATATATAAATATATGGATACTAGATCGTATAGATCATAGATGTAGACACTGACCACCATATTTTCTGAGGCATGTCTTAGAAATCTAAGATTACCTTTTTTTAATACATCACACAGCAACAGAAATCTATTAATAATGTAGGCGCCTGTTAAATTCCACACTTAGTATTATTATCTTAGCTTCATTGTTTTGGGATTTTAACAACCAGTGACAACATTTGAGTATTTAAAATGATCATTTAACTTTCATGCTATGATGATGTTTTAATGCAATCAGCATTCAAAGTGACTAATGTAAATTAATTTAATTAATAAATGATTTTTTCATTTATCTTCATAAATGAAAAATTCATTTACAAAAATATAAAACTATTGAGCCAGGCTAAGCTAGTTAGCTATGATTGGAAACGATCAATCAATCAAAACAAAATGCATGCAAAGTGCAAAATATTAACCCTATCATATTTTTTTTTAAATTATTGCTTGTATTAGTGTTGATTTGATGTCAGAGCTTCTCTTAGCGTGAGATTGCACAGATTTCATATCGATGCGGTGCCAGAGTGACACCAAAGCGGTAATCCATCACAGGCTTCACTCCAGCAGGCATGGAGAAGGTGAAGCGCTGCATGAAGGAGGTGAAAAAGAGGAAAAGCTCCATCCTGGCCAGGTTCTCCCCGAGACACAGCCGCTTACCTGAGACAGGAAAACCATCTTAAACAAACTTATTTGGGTCACAGTTTTGGCCCAGAGGTCAAACTAATACAACTGCAGTAGTCATTCTCATAGGGCCTTTATAGGAAGCAGAGCCATCCTAATTTTAGGTCTAGACAAAAGGTCAGACACTGTTAAAGAGGTGGTATTATGCTCATTTTCAGGTTCAAAATCCTATTAAGGGGTTGTAACAGAACAGGTTTACATGGTTTAATTTTCAAAAAACCACCATATTTTTTTTGTCATACTGCACATTGCTGCAGCTCCTCTTTTCATCCTGTGTTGAAGGCTTCGTTTTAGTTATGGAATGATACATCTTGTCTCTAAATGATCTTTGTTAATACTTCCAGTCAATTATTACTGTGATGGCGGTATGATCAGGGGTGACTGGCACTCATCACAAGAAGTACGGAGTTATGATCCCTGGCCTCTCTCTCATCTGTGTTATAATCTTGATCTTCCTCTGGGTCAGTCAGCAATCATTAAGTGGCGACCACACCATCTGAACAGTATAACAGTATAACTGGTGAGTGTGTTGCTCCTCACCAGCAGAGAAAGGGATGAAAGCAGCTCGCTTCACAAACTTTCCCTCCGCATTTAGAAAGTGTCCTGGGTTGAAGGTGACGGGCGTCTCCCACTCATTCTTGTCGAACAGCACCGAGGTCAAATTGGGAATTACTGTAACTCCCTGGTGATTGGAATCATAATGACAATTCATAAAGACACAACATGATTGTGTTTGTGATGTGAAAATAATGACGTACAAGAGTTGACCTCTGGGACAGTGTAGCCTCTAAGCTGGATGTCCCTGCTGGTAACATGAGGCAGGCTGAGAGGAACTATGTTTCCCATCCTCTGGACCTCGTGGATGACAGCGTCAGTGTAGGGCAGGTTTGCCCGATCTTCCATGCATGGCTGTCTGGACTGTCCAATCAATCTGTCTATCTCAGCCTGGACATTTGCTGTGCAACAGGGAGGGGACAAACAGAAGTTGAAACATTATTTAATCAACTGGCCACAACAGAACAGCTTAAAGACTCGTGGAGAGATGGATACAAAAAATTGTGAATAGATAGAGTTGTGTTCCTCTTATATACAGTATTTTGAAATAGTAGTAGTAGTAGTTTGTTGTTTGTTGTACAGAGTTAGTCATAAATGTGGAAGACACTAGTGATTGCACAGTATTTGGCACCTTAGTAGTTACATTTTTAAATCTACAAAATTACCAGCAATAAATTTCACCCTTCTGCACATTACTGAGTTACTGAGTAAGAACAATGAGCTTCATTGGCTTGGTTTGTGCTCTTACCCTGGATCTCAGGGTACTTTGCCATGTAGAGGAAAGCCCAGCGCAGGGTGGTGGACGTTGTTTCAGAGCCAGCCACAAAAAGATCCAAGACACATATAACCAGGTTTTCCTCATCAAAAGTATTGTCAGCCTGCCCTTTACTCTGAGAATATGTACAAATACATGTGCATAATTCAACATATACAGCTAATACAGTGGAGGTCATAAACTCTTCATCAAAGAGTGAAACACTTTTAATCTGCGTTGGACCTTGCACTTTAAAAACATTTAAAAGCTTTGCTTTGTTAGATTAAAAAAGGTGTGTCCTGTTGCAGATAAGACGTTAATAGAGAGTGCTGTAAGACAGAGGCCATGGAAAGAGCTCACACCTGGTCTTGAAATGAAATGTCATGTCAGTACAACACATTAACAGTTAATAGGTCTGATGTAGGTGCAAAACGAGCACATGTGGTGCTCACAGGAACAGAACATCTTCGTGAACAACAGTGTAAGAATTACAAAGCTACATTTAGTGCCAGTCACCATCTGAATCTCATTCAGGTAGCGGTCAATGAAGTCTCTTAGGTCTGAGGGATCCCACTTCTGTTTGTGCTCCTTAAGCTCTACTCTTATAAAGTCTTTTGTGTCTTCCCAGATGTGCAGGAATGTCTGATGTGGCCCTGGCAAACGTCTCATCAGCAGAGGGAATGAGTTGTAAAGCTGCAGAAAGCAGATTGGAACAATATAGATAAGATGAAATATTTTCTACTTAAGACAATCAATACCAAATGTTGAAATTCCATTTACAAATTGGCTCTCATCTTACACATTTTCCATCTTGAGCTTTTTGTGTACTAGATATTACATATGTGTGTCTAGCTAGAGCCACTCGCATGAACAATAAACTGTTTTACAATGAGGAATCTATTGCATAACAATGGTACACAGCATTAAGATTTCATCAATAGCTTTAAAATACAGTACCTGTGCCCAGATAGAGCCTTCAATCTGGAGAGCTTTGTCAAACCACTTCATAAGTTTCATGAACTTCTCATCAACGTACTTGAATCGATGACCAAAAACCAGGGAGCAGATGATGTTGGAGACGGCCTTGTTAATGATGAGGTGTGGGTCGAATGGCTTACCTTCACAAACACAACAGTAGATGTAAATTGTGTTTTTTTTTTTTATCTGTCACTGTGCACTGTGCATTTACCTTTATAGCTGCTGATGTCTTTTGCACAATGTGTAAATTCATCCAAGATGACAGGTTCAAGTGACTTCTTGCCGAATCCAAAATATCTGAGAGTTGAAAGTGCAAAACGCCTCTGCTGCTTCCATAGGTTCCCACTGCTGAAAATTATACCTGATAAAAATGAAGGTACAAATCGAAAAAGAATATTATTTTACATTAAATATGAAACTTTTTTTTTACACAAGTTGTATCTTCTCAAGAGGAGAGATCAGTGCTGTTATTGTATATGAATGCGGTCAAACTATTTGCTTGACCAACAGGGAAACTAATAAAACTTTCTCACACAACACAGGGTGAGATATAACTCAAAGGAAGCAGACAAGGAGGATGATGAAGATTTGACAAAATTGAGATGTGGATTGTGCAGACAACTCAGTAGTGAAAACACAGTTTCTATTTTCTTTCTTTCTATTTTCTTTTCTATTATCTGTGTATTACTAACAAATACGTTAATCAGTAATCTTTGCATCTGTGTGTGTTACATCCTCTCACCTAGTCCATGGGCTGCGTCCTGCTGCAGAGGGAGGTCTGGGCGGTCCACTAGGCTGTCTCCCTGATTTACCAGAGCTTCTTTCAGAACCTCAAATCCATTTAACACCACCATCCTTGTCTGGCCCATTCGCAGACTGTACACATCTCCATATTTCCCAGCTAACTGTGAGTGGATATGAGAGAAGAGGAAGAACATACATACAAGAGATAACAGCAATGATGACTCCTATCAGTTAACCTGTTGCAGTTTTAATGGTACATTTTTTACTACCTGTGTCAGACTCTCATGGGTCCTGTTGTGGTCCACAGTGAATATGTTGCCCACAAGGGGTAATTCCCGGGGTCCTGGAGGGAAGTTGGCCGGCCGACGGTTTTTGATATAATCTGCGGTGAGGATGAAAACTGTCGTAAAGAGCAGCAGACTTTTGAAATCCCAGGCCACGTACGATCCAATTAAAGAAAATATTGAATCCATTCTGCCAACAAAGACTCAAGCCTGTCTAATTGAGGTTCAGGTTTTTGTTACTTCTTCTGTGAGACACAAATCTGATGTTGCTGGCTCCTGGCAACTTGGCGAGGGATTACTGGTTGTATTGGACTCTGACCTCTTTATTCATAGAAAAAGGATGTCAAACACTGTTAATCAGTGACCCTAAAACAATTATACTAAGTTAGCCGTAATGTTTATAATGTGTTTTAGGGAGTGTTTGTATAAGATATTACACAAATAGCCAAATGCAAATTACCTGGTACTAAAACTAAAACGTACACAATTAGTCCCTACCAGACATTCAAAATAACACAGCTGTTCCCAGATTTTAACAACACTTTAATTGGGAAAACAACTGCTGGGTGTATTGTTGTGTATCCACAAACATATAATTGTTCAAAAACCAAATGAACCTAAATTCAGTATCCTAATGTTTAAATATACTGCAAAGATGAGTATGTATCCGAATGTTGGCATATAATGTAGTGTTTGATTGAATTGGTTGGAAATGTTTTTAAATGTGCCACTTTGACAGAAAATATAACAAGAGAAATAATTTTTTGGTTATACTTCATTTTATTTCTTTACTTTCACCCTTTCAGGAATCATCTCATGAGATAATGTTGCTTGTAGTAAAATTGCTGAATACATTGCTAAAGTCATCTTATAAACGTAAGTCACTGTGTGGTTGCTAAAACCCAATTCTTAAGCACCATTATAACAAAGATATATAAACATTGTTTTATGAAAGTATGCTTCAGGACTTTGGCTCTTATGCTTTCCTTACTCTTTACTCTGACAGGAAGTATAACTAGACAGTCTGCATAAAACAAAATGTAATTGCTTAAAGGTTCAGTGTGTAATATTTCTGAGGATCTATTGACAGAAATGCAATATAACATAATGAACCATTATGGTTTTATTACCTTAGAATGAGCCATTTTATCTAGATAACCGCGATGCTGAAGTTGTCTATTTTCTGCTGGACAGGTGTTAGCCAGACTTTAGCGATGCAAATGAAAACTGTTGTTTGATAGCTTTAGCTAGAAGCTTGCCAGAATCACATGATTGACATGAGTGTTTCCCCTGTCAGTGGTGTAAAATATGTTGTTGGATTAATTTCATGTCGCCTACTTATTCTCAGGCCTGTGGGTTATTGGCTTTGCCGGTTTTGTTAGTGTAACCGGCGATCTCGGGTACGGGAGGCGGACATGCTGACGAGGAGGCTAAAACCCATGGGCACTAGTGTCGGTTGCCAGTGCGTCTCATAAAGTGTTGGGGAGTGAGGTTTACTCACTGCACAGCCCCGCTAGCTTCCATCACATTAGCGATACAATCAGCTAACAATTGGCAATAAAACGGTAAAGTTAGCTTAGAGCATGGAAGCTGTGTGTCCCTTTTTGCAGGAGTGGAGTCAGGTGTACAGGACCTGTTACCAGCTGCCAGCCATCAGCCTCATCATGCTCTGCCTCTTATACCGGGCCCTTGCCTCCACTAAGCGCCAAATCGTAGACTCACATCAGTCACGTTCAAGCCGTCCAAACCTGCGACTAGCTCTTGTGCCTGTTCCCTGCTAACCCTGTTCTTTTGCGGTGCAGATCTCCCTGCCTGGCCCGTTTCCTGACACTTTTCCACTCCTGCTCATGCACGCCCGGTACTGTGGGCCCATGCCCCTCGGACTGCTGCTCTTCCTGGATTCCCAGCCTGCTGTCCCTGGACCCCCCTCTCTGGACCCAGCATCTAACATCCAGCATACTGTTAATAAAACCCTGTTTCAATTCCCCAACTCTCTGAGTCTGAGTACTGCATTCGAGTCCGAAATCAGCTGATCACTTGGCAATAAAACGGCAGCTTTCAGCATCAAAGCTCAGATCAATAAGCTAAACTCTTACTGCCCTGGTGGAAAACATGTATTTATTTTTACTGCTAATGATGATACATAATAAGACAGTGTGCCTATCAAGTGACCAATAATGAATACTGTCCGAATTTGCATTTAAAAACCTAGTGTTTCAACACTGTGCGCACACGTGTAATTTGTACTTTCACATTCTAAATGCCCATTAAAAACGTTGCACCGCTTTATAACAAGCTGAAATTATAGCTGTCAGTAGTACTTTCTGTTTGTTGTATTTCCAAAAATTTAAGACCCATTTTGGTAAGATTTGCAGATTGCTTATCTAATCAAGCAAAGCGAGAGGAGCCTTGATCCTCACCTGACAATGCCTTTGTAAACCACATGTATTGTGGTTTATAATGGACTGTGGTACAGAAACAGTGAGGCTTACATTTTGTCAGTGGTCATAATTGATGCACTAGATGTGATAGTTTGAGATTTTCTTCATTTACTTTGGTATGTTAGTCCAGATGAGCCAACCTTTCCAAGATGTAAAACAATGTATTACAGGTGTATGAGACATCATGAAGCACTTCACTTCTTGATGTGGCTCTTGTTTAATGTAAGTAGGGGAGGCCGGGTATGGTTGTAACATCGGGAGAGTTGTAACAACACCAATTCCACCAATTGGAGATAAGATTGGAGTTAGGTGATCATTTCAGAATTTACCTAATTCCTGATCAGGTATGGTGGTTATCAAGTCTGGAAAGAGGTGCATTCAGAACTATTTTTTTTTAGCATCTATACTATTGAAGTTGTAACAAGGGAACACATTGCATTTGACATCAACTCACGAGGTCTGTGATATTCTTGTAGAGGATTGAATTGGTGCCATTTGCGATAACGATAATATCCACAATAACATATGCTTTTACTGAATAATTAAGTAAATATAACTTCTTAATATATCTATCTGAAGAAACCTGATTTCTTGATTAGCAACTCTCTTTCATCTCTTTTGTCCTGTCTCAGGCACTGTAGCTGTAGTACTCGCTTGGATAGGGGAGGGGGGGTTGAAATTGTTGTATTTTGCAACCCTGACCACTAGATGTCACTAAAACTTACACACTTAAGTGCAATTTATACTTCTGCGTCAAATCCATGACATAGGTGACGGTGTAGGCTATGGGGCTACGCAGAGGCTATGCTACGCCGTCGCCTGACGTGCACCTCCTCCAAAATGTAACTACACATCGAGTCGAGGCGGGCCGTAAGCTCTGTGATTGGTCAGCTGGGTAGCCTCGCAATGCTTCCGAGCCGACCGGAAGTTCCCCGCGCTTTGAAGTAACATTTACTATCGGCCAAAACGGCGGCTGTAACACAGTGAATCAATATATTTGACCGTTGCAACCCGAGCGAAATGACTCACTTTGCTATCAGAATGTGATCCATCTGGTTGGTAACATTTGAAAATGCTACACCAGCTGCACGTTTTTACAATTTTACCCCCATTTACATTAGCGGAGCACTAAACCGGAAGTTAGCCTGCTCGGCCGGCAAAAGTCAACACAGTGGACGCTGTAGTGCTACTGCCGACTAGCGTTTGGGGATGTAATTGCAGAATGATGGATAAATGCATGGCTACGTGCGTATCCTACGGCGTAGGTATGCACGTAGACCCTACGCAGGAGTTTAAATGGGCCTTTAGCCTTTAAATGCATTACTAAGCCAATCAAGAGAGGCTGCTGTGAGAGAGAGAGATAAATGTGAAGAAGAGGACGCTGGTTCTTGGGGGGCTTTCATAGAAATAGTTTGACTGCCTGACACATATTCAAGACATAAGAGTGAAGTACAACATTTTAAGTAAGAAAGGTTTTAATTAGTATAACAGTTTAATTTAAGATACTGTCACTATTTCTTCAATAAGTCCTATATCTCTGCTTCTCCTGTGCCTGACCTTATCTTTGCCTTAAGAGACCTTAGTCTGTGTATGGTTAGACATGCTCAGTGTTGTGCATGCAGAAGTCTCAAAATAATGTTTCCAGTAAAGAGGAAGCCAAGGTCCACTCTTTTGCTGTAAATTAAATCAAAAGGTAAAGTGTCCCTGACAACGTATTTGTTTATCTAGCACACATGAGGGGAAGAGTGAAAAAAGGTCTGATAAAGAGGGGAAGGTCAAGAGTTTTACTTCTTAAGTTTATATAATTTTTTAAGTAAATGTAAATTTTTAGTAAACTTTAAGACTTCTCTATGTCTCATGTATGCATTGCCTGATGACATCAAGATAATCATTTTAATCAGGAAAGAAGGCACTATTTGCCTATATGTCACCAGCCATTGTGAAAATGAAACATCATCTTGAGATTAAAAAAACAGAAGGAAGGTTTTCTTTGTAAAAGATGGTGACAACCCATGATTGATGTCTTTTCTGCATCTTGTTTGTGATTTTCATTTGTGTGATGCATTTAAGATGTATGTTCAGTTTGTCTTGTTTTTAAATTAAAACCTTCTATATCTGGTCTGTATGCATAGGAATTTAGAAAAAATTACACAGTCACAGTTTGCTGAATCTACATGATATTTTTTATTGTTAATTTGTGACTATAGAGCAAAGGGGTCTTGGAACTACTGGCAGTAAATGTACGCTACCTATAAAAAAAAGAGGAATGATATGAGGATATGAGAATGTAAGAACCAATCAATCTGATGGCTAACTTATAGCAGTTTGGAAAAAGGGTAAGGTCCTTCCTGCCAATAAATTATTTTTAGTTTAGAGCTCAAGAGAGGAATCTGGGGGGAAATAAAGAAGGGGTGAAAGAGGAGAAAAAGGGGTAACTTTTGGGGGCTTCTGTTTTTTGCATTTTAGAAAAATAAATAAGTTTCTCCTTGGGTGCACACCTTAAGTAACTAGAAAGAGTTTTTCGTCTCTTTTTGTCTTAATTTTCTTCCTCCTCTTCCGGACGGCTAAGTTAGTATTCTTATACTTTAACATCCACACTGCCGACATTGACACACCTCATTACAGATAAGCAGCAAACTGGTCCTTTAAGGAACTCAATCCAGGTTTTCAGTATCCTACTCTATGGAATCTAAAGTGAGAGAGGAGTAAAGTGGTTGACTAGGAAACTTTTGAATCTGGAATTAGACATTTAATTCAGACAGTCAGACCAGTACCCCGTATTGAAACTACTTTGTTATCAGAGGTCACCCTTTTTCCCAAGTGATGAATTC